GTACATGATAACTCGCGAACGGTTTCGCATTTTTCAATTCTGTTTTCAGTGATAGTTAGACAATAATTAAGGGACTAACTGATGATATTTTGGTTATTGGACTTGTCGCTCGTTGTCTATATTGGTTTGAAACAGTTTAGAATTTCTGATCAATTATAAAACTATACAGGGTGGTGACTTGCGTAGCGCATCATAAGGATTTCAATGTAAAATTAATAACATGCGATTATTTACTCCCCAAATTATTTTAGAGCAAAAATGTATTAAGGTTTTTTGTAGAAATAAATTTTTTTCGTCAATCAGCCGTATTAGTTTTCAATTTTTTGCATAATAAAGACAGAAAATTGGAAAAATAAAACCCCCATCTTTTTCAATAATCTGTGATGCCATGGAATTTCATAATACAAAAACTACGCCAATATCCGTCATGCCATGGAATGTCTGCTATAAAACAAATCAAATTCTATCAAAAAGTATTATATTTAGAACAGCGAATTCAACATAAAGAAAGACCAAATTACAAAAAACGGTTTCCTAATATAACAATTTGCAGTAAATGTTCGAATAAATCACCATTAACTGCAAGATAGTAACCAAGTCGATCATAATAGTTATTTGTACAACTAGTTTTGAAATTGATACTTTTTTGCATGAATTTGCAGTTTGATAAATGAGCGCGAAGCCCGAGTTAATCAAGCAAATTCATGGAAAAAAGACACTTTCAACACGTGTTGTACACGAAATTTTTTGCATAGTGATCCATAATAACCGAGATAATAAGTAATAACCCACAATTGAATAATTTGATTGACATTCACGATTTACTGTCACTCAAAAGTGGATACTATTGTTCGTCTTCATAGACAGGGCTAAACTCCATGGAAACGCATAGTAAAAATCGTGAAAAAAGTACCACTTTCCATACGATTTTTCGTTTAAAAAAGTCCGATAATTTCATCACTATGTAAACAAATCCATTTCGAATTGCTGCTAATTGATAACTGGATCTCTTTTGTTTTAGAAAATTCCATGGCATTGCAGATTATTGAAAAAGATGCGGGTTTTATTTGTCCAATTTTCCGCCTTTATATGAAAAAAATGTAAAACTAATACGGTAGATTGGCGTAAACAATTTTTTTGTACAAAATACTTGAATACATTTTTGCTCTAAAATAATTTGGGTGGCCAATAATCGCATGTTATGAATTTTACATTGAGAGTGTAAGTTTGATAGAATTGGCGACATGGATGCAAAATTTTGGTGGGTTGCACGAATTGAATTCTCTAAACACTATTTTCTTATCATTCCGGTTCAATCGCAAGTGGCCATAAATTTCAAATTTTATATGAGATTCTACAGACAACCCTGTATTCCTGTATAAATTATTGAAAACAACCTATCAGGTGTAAGATTGGCTGTAGTGTTAAAAAGTTTGAAAGCGTACAGGGCCTATATACCATTTAAATTTCGAAATGTATGGTCCTGTTCCTGTCAATCCGAAAGTGATAGAAAGATACTATTTCGAGCATTCCATTTGTTTTTACTTAGGTATAATATCACCTACCAAAATTTCATATTCGGATCTCTAGTTTTGCCAAGGTGTATCTATTTTCATCAAATAATGTGTATTTCGATTCCTCTTATTTAAATTAATGCGATTCTTATTGGATATTTTTAAAGTTGGTTTGATGTAAAATTCTCCTGCTGTGTGGGCAACACACATTGCAATCTATGCGTCAGTGTGCGCAATTTTTTTGAATTTACCTTGTATATTGGCGCCGGCGCCAGTAGAGTGGCGTTATCTGTTGAGTGCGACAAGCAGCATCGTAAATGAATACATGTTGCGTCAATCAAAACAGTCGGTCAAAACACGTCCTTGTAGGTGTAGTAATTTTAAAAACACCTTAAAATTGTGGACATTTGCGTGATTCACGTGTGTACTGCCACTATTTCTCATTAACGATATTAACAAATCGTTCAGTTATGTGTAAAGTGCGGTTTACTCAGCGAGAATCTCTCTAATTATTCGGTATGTAAAACGTGCCAAAATCGTGCCTTATTTCAGTTTTCTCGCTTCCAAAATATCATTACCGTTCGCGAAAATGTGCTAATCCCATGGAAAATAATCTAACATTACTTTTCGATAAACATAACCTTATTTTGGGTGTCGCCTATGTTTACTTAATCTACAATTTTTCTTTTGAAAGCACTTCAATTACTTTAAATAGCGTGTTTTTAATGATTTTTAAGTGGTTTCAAAGGAAATAGCATTATTAAGTGTAATGAAAATATTATCAACATCTGTTACGTCATAACATGTTTGTTTTGCGACCGAATTTTTTTGCTCAACACCCACTTTCTACCCAATTCTTTGATATCGTCGTAATGAACTTGCTCCAATTACCTTCGAGGGTATCTCTTGTTAGTATTGAGCAAATGTGCGGTTATGCAACTGTCTGACATCATATGTAAATAAATAAAAACGTGGAAGACGTCATTGCGAAATCTGGTGGCAAAACAATTCAGGTTTTTCTTTTAATTGCAAGGTACCTACCATGAATGAAGTGGCGCCGAATGCGATAAACAGCGCCACCGGGGGCCCACCGGTCAATCCCCTAATCGGCGCCAATATTGTCAAGGAGGGATGGCTTTATAAGAGAGGCGAACGTATCAAGAATTGGAGACCGAGGTAAAGTATCCGAACTATGTTTCTTTCGGGAAAAGTGTGCGATTCTAGTCATTGCGTAGAAATGTTCAAGGTACGTCCTTTCCATTTTGATTAAGTGTTTACACCGACTGCTAGATAACTTATCTCACAAAAACAGCTTCTATCAGTTGTTAGACGAACGTAATGTGCAAAATATCCAAAATCATCCGCACTGGTTACGGTGCCTTCTGAAAGTACCAAAATCAATTATCAAAAATATATTCTTTCAACATTTCTGCTCAACAGCAACTAAAGAAAATCAGAATATTAACGAATAATCAATTTGCCAAAAGTAGTCATCTTAGTGTCACAAAGAAACAGAATCTCTAAGTACTTTATATGTTAAGAAATCGCACGTTGACGTTTATTAAGGACTTGACAGGTCCTTCTTGAAATTTTGCAGTTGGAAGGTCTAGGAACTAGCTCTCTCTCGAAGAAAAACTGTAATTAATTTGGGTTCAAATCGAAGATCTCCGAAGTCACTAAATATAATCAAAATAGGTATGTCCCTGAAGCGGTTCCGGAAAACATGGTTGGCTGAGTAGAGCAACCCTGCCTGAAACCCCTCCCACTTAAAAATAAAGACCACAAATAAATAAATTTAAGAAAAATAAAATTTAAAAAGAAAAATTGTTACAGGAATTTCTCCAATACTGTTTTCAGATTTAAATTTTGATCGCCCTTCTACAGGGTGTTTTCAAACTACTAATGGTCTATTTTAATAACTTCATACCCGATTTTTTCAAATAAAACATTTTTTTGCACTTTCAAATGTCGAAAATCATTTCATCAATCAACATTTTGGTTTAAAATAATGTTTTCCTCGATGTTTTCTTCTCTTAAGAACCAATTATTCAAACTAGATAAACTGTGCAGTAAGTCCTATCTGGCCAATCCTCGATGTTTACAGAGAATTTTAACTGTTGTAACTTTGGAGATATTAGAAAAATGCTCGGAAAAATGTGGAGAGGAATTAGAGTCTAGACTTCCCTGAGAATACTCAACAATTACTAGAAAAATTAATTTTATGTCACGTGATTCCATTTTGGTGCAGTTGTAAATATACAGAGTGTTGAATTTGAAAAATACTAACTTTGGGTTAAATCTCAGAAACGGTGGTCCAAAACTGTTTTTTGACTACGCCACTGGATTCTACGTAAAAATATCTAAAGCATGCTGTTTTTACCTTTTTTCTATCTTACTTGGGTAGCAAGATACCGGGTGATTCATTAGAAGTGAGGACAATTTGAATTTCCCGCAAATCAAAAAAATTATGAAGTTGGTACAAACTGATGATCATTTATTTAATTGCAGTGGTGTATCATCATACTTTCAGTAAATCGTTTACTTATTTATAATCTACAAATACTGCTTCTGTTTTACCACAAATTATAAACTAAACACTAGACACAGTCACGTTTCTTACATATTTTAGTGCATCAACTCTAAAAATTGTTCAAAATGGAAAAAGTAATAAACCGCAAATGGCACACAACAATTAACGGCGACACTGGTTTCTTAAATGACAGTCATGACAGATAAAAATTACTAACAAAATTCAAACCGTCAATCTAATAATGTCAAAAATACTAAAACCTTACGCGCGAAATTCAAGCGTTCATCACTTCTAATGAATCACCCGGTATTATGATAACATTCCAAAAAGTCAATTTTTTTTTCTACCTGTATCTCAGAGACAAAGATAGCTAGATTGATTCTATTTGTGGTATTAAAAGATTCACAAAAAAGTGGATCGAGGTCGCGAAAGCCGCTCTTATCTTTCAACGAAAATAGGCCACTGTACATTAGGCATAACGAATGTAGACCGTCAAAAACTTGTACTTTCTTAATTAAAATGTTTCTGGTTCTGTATTATGCATACAGTGTTTCAAAATGAGAGTTTTACAGATACTTTGTGCTGCTCGACAATGGCGCTTTAATTGGATTTAAAAATAAACCCGACGTCAACTCGATGGGCGATCCTCTTAACAACTTCACGGTCAAGGGATGTCAAATTATGTCAACGGACCGACCCAAACCATACACCTTCATCATTAGAGGCTTGCAATGGACCACAGTCATAGAACGCATGTTTCATGTGGACGGCGAAAAAGAAAGGTACCTACCCCACCTCCTAATCCCCACAATTAACAACCTGAACTGTTTACAGGGAAGATTGGCTAGCGGCAATTAAGATGGTTTCCGAAAACTTAGCGTCCGAATGCGAGGATGTGGACATGGCGTTCGAGAATCCGATGGTGGAGGATTTGTGCGAGAAGTTCTCCAGACAAGGCACGTCCAATTCAAAAACCAGCGGAAAGCGAAAGGTCACCTTGGAAAATTTCGAGTTTTTGAAAGTTTTGGGTAAGGGCACCTTCGGGAAAGTCATTCTATGTAGGGAAAAGTCGACGCGGCGGTTATTTGCAATAAAAATTTTGAAAAAAGAAGTGATTATTCAAAAAGACGAAGTTGCTCACACCCTAACCGAAAGCAGAGTGCTGCGATCTACAAATCATCCGTTTTTGACCGTATGTACTTATTTACCGACCGATTTTGTTTTAACGCGTGTTTTAGTCATTGAAATATTCGTTTCAAACCAATGACCGCCTTTGCTTCGTGATGGAGTATGTGAATGGGGGCGAGCTATTCTTCCACCTGTCCAGGGAGAGGGTCTTCTCGGAGGATCGCACTCGATTTTACGGCGCCGAAATTATCTCCGCACTCGCCTATCTGCATTCGCAAGGCATCATTTATAGGGACCTCAAATTGGAAAACTTGCTGTTAGATAAGGATGGTCACATAAAAATTGCCGATTTCGGACTTTGTAAGGAAGATATCACCTACGGACGTACGACGAAAACGTTTTGCGGAACGCCCGAGTACTTAGCGCCTGAAGTTTTGGAGGATAACGATTACGGGAGAGCGGTCGATTGGTGGGGAATTGGGGTCGTTATGTACGAAATGGTGAGTTGGTGGTGGTGAGTTTGAATCCATTCCGAATAGGGTGTTTTAGATGTGTGGTCGGTTGCCGTTTTATAATCGTGACCATGATGTGCTATTTACTTTAATTATTATGGAAGAAGTTAAGTTCCCACGCACTTTGAGCGCTGAGGCGAGGGATTTATTAGCAGGTTTGTTAATAAAGGACCCAACTCAACGACTAGGAGGAGGACCGGATGATGCCAAAGAAATTATGGTTCATCCATTCTTCACGCCTATTAATTGGAGAGATCTGGAACAAAAAAAGGTGGGTTGAATTGAACTAACGCTATTTGCGATTCGAATTAAGGATGAGACCTCTAGCGTCAATAAAAAGAACTTAAAAATGTGAACCAATTTCTGAAACGTTTAAATAGCTACTTCTAGTCTAAGATCCCACATAAGGTCAACCTTCTGTTTCCTGAGTGAAATGCATTTTTTAGCAATCTTGATATGTAAACAAACACATTGCAAATGGGTTGCACCCGGGCGGCTCGAATTCTTTTCTTTGGTACAAAAAATTTCTTTCTTGTGAAATTGTACTAATTTGGAAGTGAAATGAGGGTTATCCTGCTGTTTGGAATTAGCTCGAACACGCAATTAGCGGTATTTTCTAATTACAAATAAAGATAACAATTTATCATTCAATTTCTAATGTACTCGTACAACTTTTACAACAACTCCCAACAAAACCCTTAGCTTTAATACTTTCCCTTCGAAATTAGTAAAAATAACAATTTTTCCCAGATTCCACCCCCTTTCAAACCTCAAGTTACGAGCGATATAGACACGCGATACTTCGACTCTGAGTTCACGGGCGAAAGCGTCGAACTGACGCCGCCCGAACAGTCCGGCCCGTTGGGAGCGATTCAAGAGGAGCCCTACTTTCCCCAGTTTAGCTTTCAAGATTTGTCTTCCACCCTCGGCAGCTCTGCGCATATTAGTAGTAGCATCAGTAGTGTAGCTCCTATGCAGTGACCTATAGTCGATTAGACGACGGTAAGTCGATCGGTAAATCCATGACCACCGCGCGTTCTTGTAGAAATCGTACTTACGTGTGAGGGGAAGAGGTGTTACTTTAAAAATGAACGACTGTTGTTGCATACATTTGTGATATTTTTCACGTACCGCATAGGAATTACCTAATTTTAATTTTAAGATTCGCCCACTGGTAGATGACTGTCTTTGTATATACAAATCTGTATATAACTTTCTATATTAAATAGATATAGTCGCTTCCATTAAAATTATGTACGGAGACTCCGATTATTTGGGAAATTTTAAGGAAGTGGGATTGTTGGTATCAAAATAATTAATATTTTGTAAAAACTTTTTGGATTTTGTAACTAATTATCTAGGTAAGTGTGTACATAGGCTCTATGTAAACTAAATTAGCTGTAATTATGGGGGTACTAGTGTACTACTACTTTGATTTAATTAAGTTTTATGCTGCCAAAATGTTCGTTTACTAACAAAACTTAGACCTCGCTATAGATTAATTGCCTTTAAAAGGTAGGAGTGTCTTAAAAGATTAGTTATGCCTAGCAAAGTTATATACCTAGTAATAATTTATATAGACAAAGTACCCCGTTAAATAATTTGTTGTGAAACTACTTAAATTAGAGAATGTTGTAGATGCTAACGTTACAAGTGCAACTTGCTAAGTATACTGCAAAAGTGTTTTTGTTTTTCTTTGCTTCACAGATTTATATAATTAGTGCAAGTATTTATTAATATTTACCTATTGATACTTTTGTACTCGGTATGCCTAATAAAGGAATTTCTAAAGAAATGTATACGATAGGACGGTAGAAAATATTTATTGTGCATTGGGTTGATTGTAGATTTTATATAAGGAAAAATTTGAAGGTTCCCAACTTTGTTATCTGTTTCTTTTTTACATTATATAAATAATATATGTTTGGTGCTTGTTAGTACGAAAAAATATATTTACTTGCACATTATGACATTTTGTAAAATGTGTTTTATTTCTTTCAGCTGTAGATGTGGGCCAATTTGGATTAGTATTTTTCCTACGTTTATGTGCTTTGTACTATTCTACTCTAACTTGCGTACATTTTCAACTACTAAATCATTCCATCTTATGGATTATACTTTTATATATGAAAAGAGTGTGTATGTGACATTTTGCTGTAATGAAACAAAATAAAAATTTTATATTACCCTTTCTGCAGAGAGCAGTTAATCTGTACTCTTTGTTTGATTAACAAACTGGTTGAACTCTTCGATATTACTATAATAGTCCTTCATATGTACCTTACTTTGCAACAGCAAAATTCAAAGTACTTACCACCAAAATTGTAACTAGCACTAATAAAGGCCAAGACAATGGGCTCTTAAGGGATGTGTAATTTTATTGTAATGACAATTCGACTCCTGTATAAAAAATCGCATAAGCGGCAAAAGTTAGCTGTAACTTTTCCAGCGACAAATGTTTTCACTTATTTTCGAACCAATTATCGCATTATTCTTTCCCATATGACTAGTTTGACGTCTGTCAATAATTAATTAGTTTGGTGAATTTCTTGTGCGTTAAATTGTCGTGCTGAATTACACTCGAGGTTCATATTTAAACCGAGGAAATTTGTGTTGTTGCAATTCAGACCTGTTGCCTTTTAGCAATTCAAAAATCTATCAACTAATAAAAATGCAGCACCAAAGTCTAATTGCTAGGCAACAGATTTTCATTACCTGAACAACCCAAATTTAGTCTGTAAAATACAAACCTCTTGTGCAATTATAAGTGAAAAATTGCTCTTACACCACGTATACCCTACACAAGATACGAAGTCAAAATATGCTTTCATAGCCATGTGCACCCGAATTTTAAACAAATTATGCAATATATCATTACCATTAGAAAATTACAATCCTAGCACTAAATGAACGGCAGGACAATGGGCTTTTTTCTTAAAGATTGTGTAATTTTAATGTAATGAAAAGCTATTCTTTTAAATAGGGTTGCTTTTGAATCACATCCTACTGGAGATAAAAATTGGATGTAGGTACCTATCAAAATACTAGAAACCCTTCTGTAGGTCATTTTCAAACAAATTATACATCTAGCACTACATGAAGGTCTGGACGACTGATTTCCTCCTAAAAACTGTGTACTTTTGATGTAATGAAAAGTTACTCTTTTAAGCGCAATTGCACAGATATAATTGAACCACTTAAAACATATCAACAGAAGATGCACATCAAAAAATTATTACCTACACCCCGGCTTTTGTAGGGTACATAAACCCGAATTTTAAACAAATGTACGAGGCTAGTCTCTAACTTTGAATAAATTCCGTAAATCGGAAGGTTTTTTCAGAAATATGCTCAGACCCGTCGATTGCTATTTTAAACTGCGCTCTTGAATGTGATAACATTTTATTTTATACGACTTTAAAATCTGTTACGAAATATAGGATTTTCTTGATCAGAGAATTCGTAGCTCCTAGTCCATCTCTTCTGTTACTCCATTTTCGCATCCATAACATCGCTTTACTTCCATCTCACACTAATTTTTTCTTCCCCCACTTCCAAAATAGCCCTTGCAATCAGTTTTATCATCTTATTTGCTTTATTGCGTGCCTGTTCATCTTGGTACACCACTCATTCATTGTAACCGTCTAATGTGAACCCTTTTGGGCTAGTACTACCCAATTTAGTTACTAAATTACTCGCCACTCGACTAAATTACTGTCCTAATTCGAATCAAGCTTTAGTGATACTTATTGCTTTATAATTAACAGGTTTGGTTGCGTCTTTTCTTGGTTTTGGGATCGGAATAATTATTGCTTACCTCCAGTTATCTGGGTAATTTTGTTATAAATGGTTAACAAGTTTTTCGTAGGTAGAGGTTTTAACATACCGTCAACCGGGGTTATATCTGACGATATTTTCAATTATCTGCCTGTAATTGTTTTGTTATACGAAATTAAAGCTATTTAAGACATCTATAGTCTATAGCAAGAAGTTAACCTAGTAAATATATTTAAATAAATAAATCTTCTAAAATTTATAACGGTTTTTCTTTTTTTTTTTTAAAAAAGCCCCAGATTTGGGTAATTTCGGACGATTTATTTTTTACATTGAAAAAGTACGTTTCGAATCAGGGCTGGGCAGTATTCGATTTTGTAAATACTTTTTAGTATTCAATCCTTTAAAGTATTCAAATACTTTGTAATTAAATACTTTTATGGAAGCAGTATTTGTTTTTGTAACTCAAATACTTTCACAAATATTTAGTATTCGAATACTTCGCAAAGTATTTGGATACTTTGAGAAGTATTCGAATACTTCACATAGTATTTGAATCTTCCTTTTTTTTTACCAAAATTCGACTACACCAAAATTTCTCGGGAAAACACTTTTTCTTATTAATTTTGGTGCGTAGAATCGAAAACAATTCGTACGTTTTCGATTAGACCTCTCAATAAAAAGTTATGGACAAAAAACAAATTTCGAAAAAAAATTCAAAGGGCTGTAACTTTTGATCTAGTAGCCCAATCTTCAAACTGTTTGAAATTATGGACTCTCGATCGATCTCGATCTCAGACAATTTTTGTTTCCCGCCTCAAAAAAAGGCAGTACTTTTAAGTTATTCAAATATTTGAGAACAATTTAGAAATGTTTAGGGAAAGTTTCCATTGTCACAAAATCAAATATAAAAATCTACATCTGAATACCGAACTCGATAGTCTACGTAACTTAAAAACAATAGGGACCTTTCTTATATCCTTAAGACCATGTGTACCAATTTTCAAAGCGATCGCACGTTTCTAAACAAGTTATCGTGCACACGGACAAACGGATGGCCAAAAATGGATCTGCTCCAAAATCGCTAGGATTAATTTCAGAAAGGCGTACGTATCATGTGCACGACGTACGATCGCTTTGAAAACTGGTACACGTATTCTTAAGGATATGACTGGTATAAGAAAGGTCCTGGTAGATACCTCCTATATAATAATAATACGCTTTACTCTCCTTAAATTTGTATATAACATGGAAATATAAAAAAAGCTAACCCCATACAAAGTATAACTTGATTTTTTAAGTAGTATTAAGCCTTTTATCTAGTATACTATTTTAAATTTTTAATGTATTTGAGTGACAAGTATTCGAATACTTTTCAAAGTAAGATAATGAAATACTTTTCAAAAGTATTTGAATACTTATTTTTTAAGTATTTGAATACTTTTCAATGTATCTGTATCTAGTATTCGCTTGTGCTGGACGTAAAAGTATTTAGTATTCAAATACCTTTGATTTGTATAAAGTATTTACTATTTAGTATTCAAATACTTTTTGAAAGTATTCTGCCCAGGTCTGTTTCGAATCTACTATACTTATTTGGGATAGGTTTGCTCTAAAACCTTTATCGAAAATTTTTAAACGTCCATGCCATATGAAGGTGTTAAAATAAAAGCGATATTGTAGAAATAAACGCCTTTATTAATGGAATGGATCCCCAAAAAATTAAACACAGAAATAAACGTCAAACAGATAAAAAACGAAAAGTAACATTCTGTAAAATATAAGTAGGTAGATAGGTATACCTATATGTAGTAGGTACCATTGAATAATTCACTCAACGGTGGTACCTATTTATTCTCTTATAAGTAACTCTGTAACTGTAGACCTTCAAACACATGTACATACGCCACAAGCCACGATGGATTTTAGGTGCACGTGTTGAAGTTTGATTTTGCTCTTGTCTTCAATTACGTTTGGAAAAATAATAAGGAATCTTTTTGACCTTTGTAAAATCTAAGGCAAATCACAGCAATGTATTTTTTTGCAATCTTTTCAATTAGCGCAACGAATTTTTTTCCTGTTTTGTCCACAGTTTGGTAGGTCACTGGTCCTAACAGTCACACGATCTTCTCCTGCTGTCATTTCGAATCTTCTCCTCCCCCAAATTTTCGGGCCATCACAGACGCTAACTATTCAAACATTCTTGCAGTTTTCATAGTCTTTTCCTAGTTTTATCGAACTTTCAGACGGTGATGTTGTAGGTGGTGCTCCTCTTGTGGTTGTTGCCGTAATATATGTTGAGTTATCCAAAATCGATCCATTTTGACTTCCCAATCTCCCGTGCTCCGTTTTTTTTTAACTTCTCTTGCTTTCTTGTACCATTCTTTGCACTTGGCCATTTGAGGCTGGATGGTAGGTACGACTAAATAACTCGAGTATGTAGGATTCCATTCTTCCTAGTCCACAATTGGAATTCTTCTGACGCAAACGAACTTCCATTGTCATTTACAATGACCTCCGTAATTCTATGAGTTGCGAAAATAAGCTAGCACCCAAATCTACTTCAAATTCACATTCCCTGTTATTAACAGATAACAAAACCCGATATGGCGCTTCACCTTGCTCGATATTGTGGAGCCCTAGAATACATTTGTCGTCATCAGACACATCGCTGTCATCACTTACATTCGATTTTACTAAATATTGTACGCTCTTATTTGGATTCTTGATTTTACCTACCCTTTTTTTGTTTGTTTGATTGCCTTTAGCACGTTTCTTCTTCGCTACGTAAGCACGCTCTAAATGCCTATGCTTTGAACAGAATCTGCACTCAGCATCCCAACGACACGTTGTCTGTGCACATCCAACCCTTCCGGGTATTTGACTCCTTGGAACGTTCCATTTTGTTGACAGTAGCACTGTCTGGAGTTCTTCAAAGCTCCACTATGCTGGCATGCGGCATTTTCGGCCGCTATCACTGTGTCAAATGCCATCTTGCTCCCGCCAACAAGGGTCGTTGATTCATCTCTCGCGCCACACACGATACGGTCCCGAAATTGGGGTTCAAGATCATTTCCATAATTGCATAAACCACCAATTTTACCAAGTTCTGTAACCCCCTTTTTAATGCCTTCGATTAAATAAAAACTTCTGTAGAATTTCAGATTGTTTAGGGTTAATATGTGTCTGTGTCGTCAACAAATCAATAATGCGATCAAAATTAGTGTCAGCTAATTAATTTGGTATGCACAAGCTTCGCGCATCTGAAAAGTCTGTTCTCTACAAATGCTAAGAAAATCCGCACGTTTCTTATTCACGTTTGCTTCGAGATAATAATCTTTTGATGTACGAGTATGTACACAGTCTATGTCTCAGGTGCTGTTACATTAAAATGCTCTAAACTTACCAAACCAAAGGAAGTCATCTTCGTTTTTATCCTCGTCCCCAATTTGATATTTCCGCTTTATTATCAAACGTTTATTACATTAAATACATTAATTATTCTGATAGGAAATAAAGGGCGATCAAAAATAAGTTGCTGTGGAGTCGCCTTTGGAAGCTTAAGTTAAGTACCGCGATTTCCCATGTAAACAAAAATTCCAAAGAATTATTATTATAATAATAATTAGAAGAGTCATCAGTCACATTAATCTGACAATAATTCTTTGTTTGTATTTTTTTCTTTCGAAATCTTCCCCGTATGTGATGGTTTTGTCCGACTGTCTGTCCGTTCCTCGTCTAACTCGAGAACGAAAAGTGACAGAGATGTCTAACTTTCGCCAATAGATTTCTATGAGTCAAGGATCAGTGCTATTGAATATGAGCCGGATTAAAACTCTGCTTTTCGAATGCGAGCTGAGTGTTAAAAAATTCCCTACTGAAAACCGTATGCGATTCTTCGTATCTTGTTTATCATTCTCTCTGGTTTGCCCTGGGCAATACATAACAATAGCGTAATGAATGTTGTCAGGATCTGGTGTTGAATCTTTTCTAATATGCAATGCATCGTCCAAGTCTTGTAATGAAAAGGGTTTATTGTACCTAGTCCACCTCATGTACGGGCCTGATACCTAGCTCATTAATTCTTTTGCATAAAATCACGACTATAACTTATTCAAAGCTACTCATAAACATGAAATGTTCCGCCAGAGTTTCTACAATCTCATTTAGGTACTCAATTAGTTTAATTCTCTTCCAAACCTCGGATACTTGAGGTTAATTGAATTAACGTAGTGTTGCTGTTGCCACGTAGTCCTCTTGCTTTCTAGAGTAATTTTTCTTGACTCGGCACGTGCCTTTTTAAAAGCAACTAGGTTCTCAATACTCTTGCACATTCCTTTAGCATTTGCTTCTTTAGAATGTCCACCAAAGAATCCATGTTCTTTTGCTTACCCCATTCGTTTGGGGAATATAGGTATTATTGGACCATTGTTAAGATTGTTGTAAACATGCCTAATTAGCTATTAATTATAGGTACTCCATGTTATCTTAACATACCTCAACGAGTGCTCTATTTAATACCTTTGAATATCCTTCCCAATTAGCGTTTTTAATGATTCATTTTGGTGGACCCACTTCGTGTCTCTTTTTTGTAGATAGCAAAATGCTTATAGGACACTGGTCACTATATTGAAAATCATCATGTGCTAGGCGGTTTAGTGCCATTGCAGAAGATGTTATTTGCTTTCAGAGAAGATGTATTAAATATCAACATTTATTGTAGAAAACTTATTATTGACAATATGTATGAGATATCCCGTGTGTACCAGGGAGAACGCACCATAGGGAAACAGAATTAATTAATTTTTCGCGAAGAATCCACGAGGCCTTTGATATGTATTTGAAGTTAGCGTTCAACGTACGCTATTGCACTTGCTTGATGGTAGAAAGGGTTGAAGTATAGTACGTTTGAACGCTAATTTCAAAGCCCTCGCGGATCCTTCACTAAAAAATAGATTGGCGATTATCTATGGTACGTTGGACACACTGTATATTTCAGAAAAACTCGTAAAACAAGCAATCTTTGAAAACCATGGCCCACTGTAATTTATATTTAAAAAAATTACCTTCGAGTTGCAACGCAGTTACTAAAAGGGCTAGAAACAAGCGACTGACGGCACTGATTACTACGCTAAAAAGTGCCTGAATAGGTAATGCAAAAGCGATTTTGTTCTAGCTTCAAAAATAAAGGAGTTGTCATAAATTGAAGGAATCGGTCATTTTTCAGTTTTTCTCTTTAAGGAAAAAACATAAGACGACAGATTCTTTCTGGCAACGATAATGGAATAATCATGAAGAACGTACGAGTACGTAAGTCGTTTTCATTTATCTGCGCTAATAAGAAAGTTAGCAACAGCCCTCGCAATTTACAAATTTCCTTCTCGTTTTAAACTTTCATGTTTTTTGTGGAAGACACTTATTGTGTCTCGCTTTAAGCTTGCGTAAGTAATTTTTTAGGAAATTTACGTGGGTTGCAACCTTTGGGCACACCAACTATATTCTGGTTCTCTGGCCGATTAAGTGTGTTTAAATGATGTACAAGCAACTGTCTAATTGTCGTCTACAAATTAAATCTCATCCTTTTTAGATACATAATTTTTTCTAGAAAATTGTGTCTTACATTATTTACATACGTTAGTATAAGTATTTTTTCTGAAACTACTTTAGAAACAACAACTTTCGCCTCTAAAAAGGGCGAAGAAAATGTGATTTTCCTCTCTAGTGAGGAAAGTAAAAAACAGTTGCTAAAATAATCTTAATAATGACATTTAAAATTGAAACGTACCCGTATCTAGATTGCTTTGTGTCAAACCTCATTATTGCATACGCTAATTTTTCAATTTTGATTGTAGTTTTTTTTCCGAAAAAATTATTGGTAAAACTTGAGAAGAAAGTGTTTTTCAACCCTCCTTCAGTTAATACACTCGCTACGCTCATGTGTCAAACTTTGAACTCGAGTTGACAAACTCCACCTTCTTCTCTAGTTATACAAATAACTATTTCCTAATTTTACTAATCTTTTTGGAAATGAAACGGGACATTTTGGTGGTGAAAGGTTTATGAATTGATATACCCACTTTTTTATTTTTGCACAAAAGGAGCGCATTACAAGTAATTAATGAACGTCCAGCTTCAGTATTGGGTTTTTTTGCTACTTTTACTTGGTGCTCATTTTAATCACCTATACCAATCGAAAAATAGCAATATCCTTGCCTTGGAACTAAAAAATGTTAGTTTATAATTTCCTTTTGTTCTTAGGAAGAATGGCCTGTTTAGTATTGGTTCTTCCCCGAACTTTGTTTAATAATATACAAATTTTCCGGATTTTCATTTCATTTCCATCTTATTGGCCAAAATCACGGACACGTAAAAAACAAAAGAAAGCGCTAGCAGATATTACATTACTGAATTTTTAAAATTGTTTTCAATTGCGTGGAAGATCTCTACAGGGTCTGATTTTTATCAGTTCCCACATTTTTGTGTTAATTTGCTACTTACCTACACTATTACGGGAATTCAAAACGATTGGGATAAAGATTATTGTGATTAGCTTCCAAAGGTGTTTGTACTTCACAGTCCATTAATCCAAACATGCTACAATTATCAAAGAATTTGTTGATAAGATGCCTTATTACCTCTAAATGGCCATAAGCCGAACTTTCTCTGATGAGATTAGTAATACCTACCTGTTTTCACAAACGATGATTAAGGTTAATCAAAAATATTAGAATGTTTGCCGTCTGATATCTTTAATTAATTGTAGATTAATCATTTTGTGAATTTGTCCATTAACTTACCTTTATGAAGGATTAATTTAAACAGGTTCAAGGTGTTTTTCAGAATGCACATTAGAAATTTGCTAATGAGATTATCATCATGGATCTTTTTTCATATTTCTGTTATTACCAAGTGGACTGTTGTCCGTTACGTGTCGCGTAATAACCTGTGATTAGTGGAGAAGTTCTTTTTTAGTGCGCAACGTGGTGAATGGACAAACGTGTTAAATACTACCTTTAAGCTGTTTTTTTTTCTAAATAATTAGGAATTCGTACATACGCACGTACCAATAAGGTAATTGCTAGTTAACGCGTTCTCAAATCTTGCCAGTCCATTGTAGTTACCTAAGCCATTCGTGTTTTTATTGTGACAAAATGCAGTGCCAACGGGAATTAAAAGGCGCCATTATGCGAGACGGATGGGTATGGAAAAAAGGCGAGCACATACGGAATTGGAGGCTGAGGTATGCCTTTTAATCTTTTTAGAGAAACTTTTGGGATTAATTTTGGGCTGTTTCCAGATACTTCGTGTTAATGGACAACGGGTTGTTTTTGGGTTTTAAGAAAATCGGCGATTCACATGTAAATCAAAATGCTTTTAACGTGAAAGGGTGCCACATTTCGGTGGCTGATGGAGTAAAGCAGTTTAAATTCACCATACGTTGTCTACAAGGAAGTTCTTTTATTGAAAGAACATTTTATGTGGAAACTGAAAGTGAGCGGTAAGTTATGCTATTATATAATGTGCATAAGGTACTTAGGTATTATTTTTCGCTTTATTGTTTTGTGACAATCCAAAAAATATTTACAAAAAAAATGTATATTCAAAATTATCGTGAGCTTAACAATATTCCAGTAATTTTGAATATAAAAATTAGAATGCTTGCAAAATTTAAAAAAAAATGGTGGAATGAACACCCTGCCTAGTCAATGCATTTCATTAGTTCTTAATTTTTATAGTCACGAAATACAATTGATAGTGGTATAGAATATGCTTTGAATATAAACATCAGAATATTTGTTATGTGCTCATACTCGTCCTAAATTGAGGTACTGTGTTTTTTCACAGTTTTTCATTTTCTAGGACATTTATGATGGTTTGAATGATGCCAACTCCTAGTTCGTGATGTAATTGTGATGTTCTTATATATCATGGCGTGTTTACTCATTTACTGTTAGAATTTTGTTCTGTAGTATGTGAAGTTAGTTAAACCAGTTCACATAGAAATTCCAGTTTGTAATAAAATCTACGCCAAGGGATATTTGCGTATCCCATCGTGGGAACTCAAAAACTCGTAGGTAATCGCTTTCGTAAGCGAATTCCTTAGAAAACTTTAACTTGTATCGGTGGAGTGCCATTAAGCCAAAAAGGCAGGTCATTTTAGTGAATGCAACGCACAAAATTGTAACAAAGAAAACTTTTAGTAAAATCAAATAATAAACGTTCATTATTAGTGTCACAAAATCAGTGCGTGTATGCAAACGCTTTTTTCTGAACAAAACTATACTGACCAGCAAAAGAATTATCATTAGGTGCAAACCTGTATTTTCCAATCAATCATTAAAGTCCAACACAAAGAGTAAAAGCCGGCGGGTTTAAGTAGGCAGTCTTTTAGAAACAATTTGCCCCATATCGACGAGTCAAAAAAGTCAGCCGTAAGAATTCTAACCCCACGTCAAAGAAAAAATTGTAAATAAAGGTTAAAACTAAAAAAAATTAAACTAATGATAGTCCATGTTACCCGCCTCAGAGGGTAATAGTTACAATTTAATTTAGTTTACAAAAGTGGGTTGATTTAATTAGCGAACAACTCGTTCAAGTTTAAGTATTAGATAAAAGCAAAGGCCACTTATCACAGAAAAATTTTATCACGTCTATACTGTTCGAATGACCGGCGTGATAACAAATCTGATACAGAGTGTTCGGTAGTCATAGACCAAACAATTTCAAAGCAATTGCAAAGTTCTTACAAACTTGACGTTTGTAGGCAAGAATGGGTGTCAGCTTTACAGTCATTCTCATCAAACCTGGACGCCATCCACGACACTCCTTTTAATTCAAAACGGGTGACACTTGCCGACTTCGAGTACCTCCAAGTATTAGGCAGAGGAACATTTGGCAAGGTGATGCTGTGTAAAGACAAATCGACAGAAAAACTTTACGCAATGAAAATTATCAAGAAGGAAGCGATCGCCACGAAGAACCAACAAAATCGGACGTTGACCGAAAACAAAATTTTAAAATCCATCAATCATCCGTTTCTGGCAGTAAGTACAACTAATTGTTTATAACGATCTTTAATAATCTTAATTTTCTAGTCACTAAAGTACTCATTTCAAACGAGTCACCATGTTTGCTTCGTAATGGACTTCGTTCAGGGAGGCGAAATCTTCTTTCACTTAAGGCAGCGTACAACATTTTCAGAAAATGAAGCTCGATTTTACGGCGCGGAAATTACCTCCGCTCTGTCATACCTGCACTCGCTGAACATTGTGTTCAGAGACATCAAATCGGAAAACTTGCTTTTGGACAGAAGCGGTCATATAAAATTAGTCGACTTTGGACTTTGCAAAGACAACCTGGATCAAGACGAGCGAACCAAGAGCTTTTGTGGTACTCCGGAGTACATGGCGCCGGAGGTCATACGCCGCTGTGCTTATGGACGCTCGGTTGACTGGTGGAGCTTGGGAATTGTCATGTACGAAATGGTAATGTCCCATCAATACTCGCATCGAATTTCTGACAAACTTATTTTTCTAGATGTGCGGAGAGTTACCGTTTTATCATTCGAACTACAATAATCTGTTTAGCCTAATTTTAATTAAGAAACCTAAAATTCCTTCGAGACTTAGTAAGAATGCCAGAGACCTTTTAACGAGTTTATTACAAAAAAATCCAGTGCAGCGCTTGGGAACAGGGAAAGGGGCGCAAGAAGTAAAAAAGCACCCCTTTTTCGACGAGATAAATTGGTTACATTTGGAGGAGCGAAAGGTACGTTTCCCTGATTTAGTAAACTACCCTCGTATATAACCTTTTGTTTTGTTCCAGATACCGCCGCCGTTTGTACCACAAATCGAAGACGAAACTGACACCAGATATTTCGACTTGGATACAGCCAGTGATGCGACTTCGCTAACGCCACCTTCATCCGTTGCAAATTTTGACGATGAAATGCTGTTTCGAAGATTTTCGTTTAGAGACAAACGCGATTGACTGTTCTTTTTCATTTTTCTGTAAATAAAAATTTTAGAAGTACTTCTTCACACGACATTATTGATTGATTTTCCATTATTGTATAGGTAGTAGCTCCAGCTATGGGCCCAGCTTAAAAGCAAATTTGTACTACTACTCATGCGTCGCGACACTCGACATCGACGTCGTGCGTAAACGTACAACCAATTCTTAGTGATTTACATAGTGGTGCTGAAATGTTAAATAGAGAAATAGTCGAAGGCAATATGAATTGTTACATAAAAGAAATAAAGTGCCCAACGTAATGTAGGACTAATCGAGTCATATCACAATATTCATTTCATAAAGTCGGCGAACAATTAACACTTTTTGGATAACCAATTACAGGTAAACGTTTTATTTTTTTGTTATACATTCCGATTTAGTATCCTCGGTAGATTTAACCCCTTATAGTCGGACGCCAGAATGGACGCACAAAAGATCGCATGTCTTCGAAGTCAGAATTGAATAATTATCGATTAAATTATGTTGATATATGCTTCCTTTTAAGTGCATTAATAATTAGATCAGAAAAACTACAAACGGATTTTTAAATTAGTGAAGAACCGAGTGCCCTTTACGTAATTGCAGCGGGTAAGGGCAACCTGTTAATCGACACACTTCAGAAAATTTGGCCCTTTTGGTCGTAACATTTACCTGCTGACGGTGCTGCACGTTACTGGCACCGAAATGATGAGCACTAATCATATTGTTAATGCCCCTCACGAATGGGTGGCGTGTGTGCCATTATAAGGGGATGAATTCTTAGCATTCCTTTTCTAGCAAAGTTCAAAAACTGCTTTTAATATAATTTTCTGTCAGTAGAGTAAAATGAATTAGACAAATTAGCTCGAAATGAAAAGCTCGAAACAATTCGCATTGCGCATTTTAATAATTAAAATGATCTCTTTTGTGAAATGGGAATCAAACGTTTCACGCCTGATAATCAAATGCGCCCAGGGGAATGAATAGAAGAGGGACCGCAATAATGGAGTAGGTAGATATTTTGGGATTGGGTGCATTGCTTAATTTAGGGAGTACAATTTGATGGTTTTTATTGTGTACATAATCATTCTCTAAGTGGGCCGGTCGTAGCATGATGGTTCATCCCAAAAAAACTATAGCCCAAATTAAATGGTGCTTTATTTCGGTTTTTAGTTAAACGATAGAGTGCGCGTTTTAAGGGAAAAAAATCAAATGAGGCGTGTAAAACCCTTCTTAGCTTTATGCGTTGGCTGAACTTTTCTATAAAGCGGTGAAATTGAAATCTCGATAAATTATAGAAAGCTGAAATGGTTATTTCCATAAAAGTCAGAAGGATGGCATATTACTGGCGAGGAAATATTTAATTTCCGAGTCAAGTATAATGTCATTTTACTCACGAGTTTTGTATTACCTAAATTTTACCAAAAATCGTATTTTAATATAAAATTTCAATTTTTATAGAACTTTTTATTAATTTCAATCTGTCAGTGATGACAGGAGTCATTATAGACATTTAGCAATGTCACAGGTGCGGCCGGTAAGGTGACAGGCGGCAAGAATCGTAGTCTGGTCCATGGTCTTGTTTGCCTCTGTCATGGACACTAAAATTTCGTGATATAAGTAAAGTAGGCTTCATGAAAATGAAGGTTTCATGACGATTTTGGGTAATAGTTATTTGAGCAAACTCGTTCAACTGACATACTCGCTACGCTCGTGAGTCAAACTTTTCACTCGACTTGAAAAACTTCACTTTCTTCTCAAGTTTTACACATAATTTTTTTCTGAAATTACAATCAAAGTTGAAAAATTATCGTATGCAATAATGAAGTTTGACACATAGCAATCTAGATACGGGTATGTTTCAATTTTAAATGTCATTATTAAGATTAACGCAGCAATTGTTTTTTACTTTTCTCACTAGTGAGGAAAATCACATTTTCTTCGCTCTGTTTAGAGACGAAAGTAGTTGTTTCTAAAGTACATTCAGAAAAACGATTTTAATTCATTCTAAATGAGAGTTTTTAGGTTTCCCAGTTTTAGATTAGAAAATTTGGTCGCACTTAATTTGCTGAATTTTATCGTACGTACAGAACATTTCATTTTTTAAAGTTCTGTACCATGTTATCCGAAAAGCGTGTTAAGCCAAGTTTTGGGTGCTTGTTTTTCATAATAAAAATTGTGACGTAATTAATATCAATGTGGAGAGAGCCTTTTTTAGTTGAAAAGTAAAAGTATGTCCCCCTACTACGAGAACAATTGTAGCATACCAAATATTTACATGGTATCTAATCAGGGTGCTGATTAAAAAGTCTTCTAATACGGAAGATTCACTCTGCTTCCGAAAAGATTCGCCCTCTTGAATATTCGTCGTCGGAAGACAGACAGACAAAACCATCACATAACGGAAATCTTTTTTCTTCCGAAAAATTCCTCTAACAATTCGCCATCTGATTAAAAATATTTTTTAAGCTCTTATTCCATTTAGGTACACAAAAACTAGGTTACAAGATTTTCAAGTAATAACATTTAAAATTACTCTTTGCATCCGTCATTTATTTCATAAAAGTGAAATTTCAGAACCATAAATGGAAGATATGACATATGGGCATCACGCGAAACTAAATTTCAAGCAGAATAAATAAAAAAAAAATAAGAGTTACTTCGGTTTTCAGAATAACTCCTACCAATAGATTTTCACATTCTATAAGCGTTCCCGCAAACGTTCAACTATAACTCTTGATAAGCAAATTGCACAGTTCAGTCTAGATACGCTCAAAAACTTATCAATTTTTGAGTTTAGAAGAGACGCAAATATTTTAATAGCAACCTGTTCCAGCACCTGAGACACTTGACAGAGTACCTTTATGAAACCTCTAATTTTTCCTTTTGTCATTTTTCGCGTGCACTTATCGTACAGAAAACAGTAGTCTCGTATTTTAGAAATCTGACAAAATTCTCTGTGTGGTTATTGTTTTTAGCGCATTTTCCAACTCATTATGCGCACTTTCTCCGTCCGTCCGATGCCTTAACTGCTCCTACAGTTTTCGATAAATTTAGTTCGCTCTGGCACCTCAACTAAGAAAAGGAATAAATTATTATTATTATTCTCCCTTTATTAATCGTTCTTACTTTGTACTTAGTTTTAAAATAGGGTGAGCTTAAAGGGATAAAACAAAGTAGTGCTCGCATATAAACATATAAATCAACGTTTTAAATGTCTCTATCTCACTTAATTTTTGTTATATAGAAAATTCCCGGTGAGTAACATTTTTAGAATTAAAAAAGCTACAATTTGAAGCTGTAGCATTTGTTTACGTAGCTCCAACTGTTTTGGAGTTCTCTTGAGGAGAAGGCCGTTTTTCACAAAATTGCAGAAATTCGTTTTTCACTTTTAGCTTCAAAAATTTTCTAAACTGGTCACACTTCTAGAATGTATTACTAATATGTACGTACCTAATTAGAGAAAACTGGTAGTTAGGGTGGTAATTAGGGGGTTGCTTTCGCTGAAAGAGTAGGAACCTGGCTTATTTTCATCATCACTCGCTTAATTTTTATATTAAAGTTTGTTCTTAAAAAAAAGAAGAAAGGGTTTTTAAAGTTTTTTTTTTTAAATGCCTAATGTTGCCATTATTTCTGTGTGAAACTCTCTAACTTAGCGTTTCATGAACAAGAGGTAACCTATAACAATCCACAACTCGATTCGTATTGGTCGTACAGCAATAATTTAAAAAAAACATTTTCTTTGTTTTTTAAAAGCTATGATTTTGTTCTTCACAGTTTTTTTTAATAAAACGCATACTTTTCGAGATTTTCAATTAAAAACATTGGTCTGCTCTATGAAAACTCATGCTTTATGTCGGAAAAACTGGAAAAGTTCCCTTAGAATTAATTTTTGCATCTATTTCTGTAGTCAAAGAACAATAAAAAATTTCCACCTCTGAGATTAGGTGAAGGCTTGATTTTGATCCTTAGCATATTTCCTACCTACTGTCAAAATTTCAAGTTAATCGGTTCATTTTGAAAAAATTTCCAGGGAAAAGTCTTCATCTCCTGGACTATAATTATACAACACACACATCGTACTATTCCAGAATTAAAAACACGCTCTTTAAACGTTTAAACACATCCATAAAGTAAATTGAAAGAAATCAACTCGCGAAAGATCTACTAAAGTTAAATATTTATGAAAATGTAATGATGCAATTGCAACCCTCAATAATGAACATTGTAAAACATCAATATGGTAAACAATACAAATGCCTCGTACATTTTTAAAGAGGTTTAATAGTAATACAGGGCCGTAGGCAGGAAATTCATTCAAGACGGGCTGGATTTCCGATTGATCACATATTTATTACCGAGTCATATTCATAAAACTACAGCTATCAGTCGTATCTACTGCAGACCATATGCGCCCATCTCGACAAGGCGCGGAGAGTACCCTCAGTGAAATTTCGGAGGGGGCTCAGCTCCCCCTCTGGTACGTGCCTGTAGTAAAACGTATAAAAGTCGAAATACTGTACAGATATGTAATGAAGATCTACTATTAGATAATGATAACGACTTGATATTGTTAGTACCGAACGAATTAGTAATCAAATTGCTTCATACTTATTACTCTAACTTTACTTGATAGATTTGCAGTTTTAATTTAGCAATTTTTGCGGTGTTTTTGATAAGATCTTCCAGCAGTGGCCTACATTATTTTTAACGATCTGATTTAAATATACTGAGCTATGATTTTCGTTGAATATGCAGTTTCAGAGGGCAATTTTTGAAAATATTTCAGTACTCCCCCGCTGCCACGCAAGGTCTCGAGATGGAAAATCTTACGAGCTTAATACGGTTCTGAACTTAAAATCAAAACAATAGTCTATCTCTATAGCCTTACTATGGGGAGTCACGTATCAAACATTGAATAGCAGCTACATTTCACGTACCTACGTCACCATTCATTAAAGGAGTAATATATGGTGACCAATTCTATGAAACGCGTATAGGACGTCCGGAGAACGTGCAAATTAATGTACCTACGTGTCCATTTTTATGAATACTTTTTGTCTTAATTTTTTGGACGGTAGTTTATAGTTATATTGATGACGAAAAATTAATTTTCATCTACCATCGTCTGTTCCTGTACATCGCCCATCCACAATTTTTCGTACTGTTTACCATATACAGAAAATTGTCACGAGAACGCTGAATCCTAACGTCGAATGACATATACTCCATGGATTTTAGGTTTGCAACGCTCCACATGATGTAATAAATCATTATCTAACACCAATTTTATCGGGGAACTGCAAAACACATTAGCACATGAGCTAAATTGTGTGCTCTTCTTGTGATACTGTCATTTGGGTTAAGATGGTGGAGCAAAATTTTTATTTTATTAACTTCGTCGCGGAAACTCCAAATTTATTGCCTTGATGCATAATAGGACGTATTTATAAGAAAAAGGATATCCTTTGAAAAAATCAAAGGATTTACTTCACATTTTATTCAAAAAGAAAAAGAAGGAAAAGGCATACGCCAGATTTACTTCAGAAAATGTGCATCTAGTCCGAAGAAGGTTTTGTTGATTTAGTTTATTCGTGTACAATCAATTGTAGAGCAAAGGTGTTTAGTTTTCGAGATTTTGATACAATCCTAACTACCCAGTGCCCATTCGATATGGTGCACGTACGCCCACGAAAAGTGTACAAAAAAAGGCCCACTTCACCGTTTATATGTGATGCATAGGTACGATTTATAATCCTAAATCATTTCAAACGCCAAGAAGAGATATTTCATTGTCATTGTCTCTTTTCTTAAACGGTCGGAAATGTACGGTTCCCGTTAACACTTTCTACGGGCCGTTTTTCGGAAAATTTGAATGTACATAACACTAGATGTAGAATTAGAAACTACACCCATACTTTCTTATTTCTTATGGACGCTATATTGGATTATTACGGAATAAGATAGAGGACAAAAAGGAAATTCATTTGAATGCATCGCCCTAGTTACTCGTGTATGTTTTGTTGAGAAATCATATTTTTCTTGTACATTTATGTAAAAGTATAGAGTGTGACACGTCATTATTTTTCTTTTTTGTTCTTTATCTCATTCTGAAAAAATCCAATATGGTTCCTAAAAGAAATAAGAAAGAATTCTTTAAAAAGTAATTTAACTGATATTCTTTTTCGGAATGAAATTGTAGCGTTGTTAAAGGGCAACAAATAGTGGTCTTACCACCTAATAAGTTAACAAATAATTCGTTTCACTTTCTATAGGTAGTTAGTAACTACCAATTGATAGTGTGATGGGGATACATATCGATACTGTCGGTAAATCTGTCAATCGTTTAATACGACGTAAATAAAAGGGGTAGTAGCTTCTTAACAATTATACAATTATAAAGTATAATGAACAAATTTCTGAAATCAAAAGCGGTTTGGGGTGAGCTAGGGTCCCACTATCTGTCTCTGTCGTGGATCATCATTGGGACCTACCTAACGTTGAGAGATACAATGTATGTTAAGTCGGGTCCTCTTTTCCTGACAAAAAAAACACATTTGAAATTTTTGAAAAATCTTTGAAAATAACTGAGGTATCATCGAAAAACTGAAAATTCTGTTTTCAATTTCCCTAACTTGAACGGTTAACATTATATGGGCCTTTTTTTTCGGAGAATCTAAATCTGTTCAGAATTTTCATAACAGGCTAGATGTAGAAGCTACAGGCCACTAATTTCTTATCTCCTATGAACGCTACATTGAATTTTTACGGATTGTCGTAGAGGACAACTCATATCAATGCATCGCCATCACAGCCATATTGATTCAGCAAGATCTAGTTACCTGTTTTGTTGAGAAATGAATGTAAAGCATTTGATTTTTAAATTTTGATTGTAAATTTATGTTAAAGTGCTATTTTTCATTTTTTTGTCCTCTATCTCATTCAAAAATCCTATTGGCTCTCATAATAAATAAGAAAGTAAAGTAGCCTGTAGCGTTTATATCTAGCGTGTAGGGAAATTCTGAAACAGATTCAAATTCTTCGAAAAAAGTGACCATGGAAAGTGTTAAAGGAACCGTCTATTTGCGACCATTTTCAGTTTTTCAATGATATCTCAGATATCAAAGATTTTTCAAAGGCGGTTTAGTTAGTCACAGAAAGGGGCAACATTATCCCATTTAACCTACACTGTATCTCTCGCACCGTTACGGAGATCCCATGGTGAGCCACCAATTTGAACCACCCTGTACAGTGTACAAGTAGATAATATTTATATTATGTTTAGTAACTCCCTATCATTCCCCTTTCAATTGGTTCAACCAATTTTAATTTGGGATTATAAAAAAAACTGTTTTTGTATCTCCTGTGGAACAGTTAACGCTTTGTTGAATGTTGACATATCTTAACAAATAACAAATTGCGAATTAGTTGTACTTGAAAAATACTGTAAAAGTTAACTCTATTGGAAACTTATCAAATTCATGTCGCACTTCAAAAGGAAGCATTTTGTTCGATCTTTGTTAGATACATGAATAGAACAAGCTGTTGCCAGTTCAACTTTTTTCTGTTTAAGTATATTACTTGTTATAACGGTGCTGCAACAAGTGGCAAGCTGTCACTCTACTTCGATTTTAACACATGAATTTGTTGCACTTGTGGGTTCTGAATGGATTCCTTGTTTAGTAGATTAAGAAGTAAAGTAAATATTCCTTTCCTTGCCAGTGTACCCCATTAATTACCATCATGTCCGCTCCTGGAGTAACATCAAGCGCTTCCAACCGTCGTCAGAAACGTATGGGCCCCGCACCTTTTGCTTCTTTCGAGGACCTCTCAGACGAGGTGAGAACCCGTGTACGTATCAAGTAGCAAATCACAATGCTAACGCAACACTTTCACCTATTGCACTTCTCACACACGTAATTTCTCTGTTTAATCAGAGTTCTTTCATTTCCTAAATAAAACGTGTAACATTGCAGTTGGATAGTCCGGAGGATAAGCACCTGGGGCCTTCTGTGGTTCGTCTGCCGGGCATTCGAGAGGATGCGACGCCATGCACGCCGGTTCCGGATTGTATTTACACGGTAACAGGGGCACCGACCCCTGCACGCTCTAGCACCCCACCAAGCACAACAATTTCATCATTGTCAACACCGCAGGAGTCTCAGACTAGTACCAAAATGAGCCTACAAACACCAAGTACGCCTAGAATCGATATATCAAGAGCTAGTAGTTCCTCACATCACGAAGATAGTCGAGACAGCACACCTGAAAGAGAGCTTTTTGACGGACACGAACATGGAAGTGCCAAATTAGGGTTAGCGTTTAAAGAAGAAGGCGCTCTCGACCTGCGGTCTTCCACCGAAGAATTAGACTTTCACGATCCGCAAGAGAAAACGAAAGGGCACAGGGAACGGCCACAATCGCCTTGTTACCACGATTGTCAACGTAAAGATTCGCAAAGCTCCGAAATAGGCTTACTCTCAATTTCTGGAAGAACCTCACGATTATCTAGCATCGGTAGCCAGGGATCTGCACATAGCAGAATATCTAACGTTAGTCATTTATCTATCGTATCGGGGCAGTCCGGAAGATCACCCTCGCCTCACAAAATGTTATTGGAGACTTCCTTCTGTGGATATAAATCGCCAGTATCCCTCCCACAGCCGGTGGGTCAACATGAAGGCAAAATTGACGCGGAAGTTTTAGAAAAGGTACTGTTGGCACGCAAACATGATCCACGAGAAGCGATTTTGGCGGAGGGAATCACGATGGAAAAGAAAGCAAAAATGGAATCGAAAAAATCCGCCGAGAAAGTTCCAAAGTCGTCTCAAAAGCTAAACCCGGATATCACCATAACAGTTCAGAACCCTAGCGAAGTCGACAAGCCGAAACTTCCAAGAACTTTTGTATCCCCTAGCGGGGTGGAATATATTTACATACCTCTGAAGGGTCCCCTACCGCGCGACGACAGAAAAGGAAGCATCCAAAGGGTGGTGTCGGCCTCGCATGCGAGACCGACGGTTCAAGCAAAAGGCAAGGAAGCTCCTCTCGGTAAAAGTCGGTCAAAGTCGGCGTGTACTTCGCCATCTATTCAAAAATCGCCTTCGGTTCGTAGCAATGAAGAACCCAAGTATATACGAATTAAATTGAAACCTGATCACATGTATGAAGACGACGATAGTAGGACAGATGTGAGGAAACCTGCGTGTTTAAATTTGCACGAAGGTAGCAAAAAACAATTTCAATCGTTTACGCAGGTAGTTAGTGAACCTCCAGCTGAAAATTTGCACTCTATAGCTCACGCACCCGAGAAACCTATCGCCGGAGCAAGCCCTCAACCTACGCGGCACAAAGTCCTTAAAGAGCCTGCGAGTAGTAAAACACCGTCCCCGTCTCTGTCTAGAAGAAGCTCATTCACATCGCTGTTTAAAAGCCGCGAGACCGTGGTCAGTCCCGATTCACCCACTGTAGCCGGTTTTAAGCGTAAGAACACCATATCGGGTATTTTGAAGGACGCAAGCGAGAATATAAGGGAAAGAACTAGGAGTAGGTCTAAAAGTAGAGAAAGGGATAAATCCTCTGTATCCACTGCCCCATCGTCCACCGAAAGCATCGATAGCGCTAAATCGAAACCACAAAAGTCGGTGTTGTCCATCTTCAAGCCCAAAAAAAGCACAAAATCGAAGTCTGACTCGGCGAGCACGTCGCCCGAGAAGTTTCCCAACATTGATGCCATCACGAACGTAGAGTTTCAATTCGACAGTTCTCAGTCGAGTAGTAAAAAGTATTACGAAACCCCCCTCCCCGGTGAAAGTATACGGATACCACTCCATTCGCCTACTCATTACGAGGACCAATCTATTTTACAAGAATTTAAAAGTTCTAGTCAAGATTCTCAAGAAACTGTCATAGACACAACAAAGCGAGTGGCTGTTGATATCGAACACGACACCCCAACTCCAACACCGACAGTCAGCGCCGAAGTTAGTAAAAGACAAAACAGCCCCGGTAGCGAAAATGTAGTTTTTACAACGCAGTTAGGTAGCAATAACGATTTATTCACAACAAAGATACCGAAGGAGAAACAAACGAGTAAAACGCCAAACGAAATTAAACCCGAAATTAACCAAAACGGGATTGTAACTTTTCTAGCGAGTAACGAAAAAAATCCGCCGGCGATCGACAAAAGCGTAACACTCAACGAACTCAAGAGAGTGGCCGTCGATGACGAGGAACGAAATAAGATCACGAAAACGGAAAGCTTGAATTTGACAAAAGCCATCGTGGCGTCGATGAGTGAGCATCAGCTTTCCAAGGAAGCAGTCATCAAGGAACTGACCGAGGGTTCGAAATTTTTGCGGAATTCCGTATTGGGTTCGCTGACTAACGAAGAGCGTTACTCCTCGGAATCGGAGAAAGATAGTGAACTCGATTATTTAAAGGCGAAGAAAGAGGAGGAGAAAATGGAAGTGGAAGTGGTCGAACCGGAGCGGAAGGGTCTGGTGCTTCAACAGGATTCCTTCGACGATGAGTTGCCCTACGTTCCAACTACGCTGCCGCTGGAAAGATCAGTCGCGGTTCCGATAGTACCTGTAAAACAACGAGGAAGTTTCGAGGTGAGAACGTATCCCATCGAAAGGCCCAGATCGACGACCCCGATTAATCTAAGCACGCTGGAAGATTACTGTGAAGACGTTGTCGGATATATCAACACCGATAACATTACCAAAGCGATTGAGAAGTTGAAGATCTCTCTACCAAAGGATGACGCACCCGAACGTGTTACGAAGGCAAAATCTCCAAGAAAACCAACCGGTGGTGGCGCAAACTGGTTTGCGTTCACGGATAAGGGGGCGAAGTGGACTTCTCCTACTCAAGAAGGATCTCCCCCACCGTTACCCCCCAAAGGGATGCAAAAGGAGTGGATTAACTTTGAGGAAATTCCGGAACGGCGAAAACCCCCGCGTAGAATTCAAACAATTCCGTCTCGGGGAACGATTGAGGTACCCGAATCCGTTTTACAGGAGCACGTCGTTTACAGTTACGTAAACCCCGAAGATTGCAAATGCGAATGCCACGAGTTGGCGAGGGAGCGAGAGCACCAAACCCGGCAGCAGGAGGAGACTCGTGTCCAAGAAGACGAGGTACCTTTATTGGAAGACGAGCCGATAGAAGAAGAGAAGAGTTCGCAGGAGGTGGATCGGATTAAAGTGGAAACGACACAGTTCGACAGGCGGAGCATTATTAGGTAAGGTTCGATTTCTTCTTTGCGCTACCTAATTAATTGTGGTTAGTGATTCCTCTTTAGATCTAAGTACAAGTCTTGAACATCAGGAGGCCTCGACGAATTTAGATGTTTCTCTTCGCACTCCTTTTACTGGCGATTTAGGTATTTCTAGTAATAGATCAAGTATTGTTTCACAGGTAAGTGGCCGAGGGAGCTTTGCGTTTTTAAACGTCTTCTTTTAGGATGAACCTGCATCGCCCGATGTGACCTCGCCAAATGCCTTTCCTAAAACTTCGTAAGTTTAGTTAGAAAAATTAAGGAAAAAACAATCATACATTTTGCTGACATCAGTACTGTGTTAATTATAATTTTATTATATTTATAGTGACCAATATTCTTATGCAATTGAGGTAGGGAACTTAATGCTCCAATCCTAAACCAAAGCCTTTTATGTGAAATGTAAATGTGAGCCCAACTCAGTCCAATGTTAATTATGACTGTTGAGGTTGTATTATATCTTGAATTGTTATTGCGATTAATTGTTATAATTAATGATTATAATCCGGTGTTCTGATCGGAACTGTTATTGGTTGTTATATCTATCATCATTACACTATTATTCATTGAATGACGTATATGCCACTTTTGTTATTTCGGCAAAGAAAAACGTACACAATAATTTGCTTCTTTGGACGTAATCCGTTCGGTGCAATAAATATGCACGTTGTGCATAATTATCTTATTTAGTGTATAACTTCTTTTGTATTTAAAGTGTTACCCGATATTTTAAATAGGAAATTCTATTGTACATAAATAATTAACTTCAAATTAAATTATACGTGTTATAAAAAAAGTTGCACTTTTTGAATATTTTAATTTGTTTTTTTCTAAAAGTGATCCCTTTTTCATACACTTACATTCTGAATGCATGCAAGGATTCGTGTAGAACAAACACTTCATAGATAAATTACAATGACATCGAACTTAGAATTTGATCAATGCTCTCCCTTTCCATGTGATCAACCCTCTGTACAAATACGGACCGTCATTAATTTTGCATAGAGTTTACCTCTGCGTAACAGGGTAAGAAATGGAATGAGGTGCATTCAATACATAGAGATATCAATGGTACCTATCCTTCACGTTTAATCATATTTGTTAATAAAATCGCCGCCAGTTATTATTCAATTACACAGTAGCAATTTAATCAATCGTGAGACCTACCTATTTCATTATGAACTAATGGCATAGGCATTATTAAGCAAAGTGGTTTCAGCGTATTTTAGATACATTCGTCGCATTGGAACTTGAAATACGTACAAGAAACACGGAGCATTCGAGAAAATTTCCGAACGGCTAGCTTTTAGCCCCTACGATTAAAAAGAGAATATCCACTTCCGTTTGTTGTTTAACTTCCTAATTATATAAAATTTGTATGTAGTGAGGTTGCATAGGTTTTTAAATGTCGTCTAGAGTTCGAAGTTTTTGAACATTCTAAACACTGTAAATATCTTCACGGGGCTGCAACTTCTGAAAATTGCAATTGTAATGATTATAAAGATTCTTGAATGACACACTCACATTCTGAAAGTACTACATTTTTTAGTATGTTCGTAACGTTTTGCAGATTCCGTCAGGCATTTTTTAAGATGCTGTTAGTACTAATAATAGATTCCTAATGCTTAGGAAGATTCTCAGGGTTGGAAATCGGTTCTCAAAACGTTAAGATCGAAATTAGTTTATTAACGAGCGACCCAGCTCCGTCCGCGAAGGGTTTCGAATTTTCTAATTCTGTTTTAAGTAATAAGAAGACAATAGCCAAGGGCTAGGCCATCAAGGGACTTAAAAGAAAAGTTTGGTGCGCTACTTTGAAATAACTTTGTTAACTTAATTTAAAATTTGAACATATCGTGCTTTCGCAAATACCATTGTTTTTTATGTGTACAGACTTTTTGGTATGGCACGGTCCTAAATACGTAAAATACCGTAATTGGTTTCTACTCTATAACTTTTGATTAAGAAGTCTAATCGAAAAAGTACGAATTGTTTTGGATTCTACGCACCAAAATTAATAAGAAAAAGTGTTTTCCCGAGAAATTTTGGTGTAGTCGATTTTTGGTAAAAAAAGAAGGTTATACACTGCCTTTTTTTGAGGCCCGAAAAAAAAATTGTCTCAGATCGACCCGGAAAAAAAATTTTCTTATAGAATGGGGCCTGTAGAATCCATAATTTCAAACAGTTCCAAGATTGGGCTACTAGTTCAAAAGTTACAGCCCTTTGAATTTTCTTTCGAAATTGGTTTCTAGTATATAACTTTTGATTGAGAAGTCTGATCGAAAAAGTACGAATTGTTTTGGATTCTACGCACCAAAATTAATAAGAAAAAGTGTTTTCCCGAGAAATTTTGGTGCAGTCGATTTTTGGTAAAAAAGGAAGGTTATACACTGCCTTTTTTTGAGCCCCGAAAAAAAAATTGTCTCAGATCGACCCGGAAAAAAATTTTCTTATAGAATGTGGCCTGTAGAATCCATAATTTCAAACAGTTCCAAGATTGGGCTACTAGTTCAAAAGTTACAGCCCTTTCTAATTTTCTTTCGAAATTGGTTTCTAGTCTATAACTTTTGATTGAGAAGTCTGATCGTAAAAGTACGAATTGTTTTGGATTCTACGCACCAAAATTAATAAGAAAAAGTGTTTTCCCGAGAAATTTTGGTGCAGTCGATTTTTGGTAAAAAAGGAAGGCTGTTTTTTTTTTGAGGCACGAACAAAAAATCGTCTCAGATCGACCCGGAAAAAAAATTTTCTTTTAGAATGTGGCCTGTAGAAACCACAATTTCAAACAGTTCCAAGATTGGGCTACTAGTTCAAAAGTTACAGCCCTTTGAATTTTCTTTCGAAATTGGTTTCTAGTCTATAACTTTGATTGAGAAGTCTGATCGAAAAAGTACGAATTGTTTTGGATTCTACGCACCAAAAGTAATAAGAAAAAGTGTTTTCCCGAGAAATTTTGGTGTAGTCGATTTTTGGTAAAAAAGGAAGGTTATACACTGCCTTTTTTTTGAGGCCCGAAAAAAAAATTGTCTCAGATCGACCCGGAAAAAAATTTTCTTATAGAATGTGGCCTGTAGAATCCATAATTTCAAACAGTTCCAAGTTTGGGCTACTAGTTCAAAAGTTACAGCCCTTTGAATTTTTTTTCGAAATTGGTTTCTAGTCTATAACCTTTGATTGAGAAGTCTAATCGAAAAAGTACGAATTGTTTTGGATTCTACGCCCCAAAATTAATAAGAAAAAGTGTTTTCCCGAGAAATTTTGGTGTAGTCGATTTTTGGTAAAAAATGGAAGGTTATACACTGCCTTTTTTTGAGGCCCGCAAAAAAAATTGTCTCAGATCGAGCTCAAGAGCTATTTTTGCGCTTCTATTTCATCAATTACTTTCGACTATAGTAGTAGAATTAAATCATTATTTTAAATACTGTAGGAATAATTGCGGTCGTGGACGATAAACAACACCGTTAAGCAGACTCTTTTCTGCCAAAAAAAATGTGTATATAATAGTGCAGTATATTCAATTTGTGGGTAAAGAATTTGAACCGAAGTGCACCAAAATATGACACGCAAATAATATTTCTGACATTATTTGGCAGCAGATTAGCACTAAGGTAGCATCAATCTTTGGTATACGGTGCTATCATATTTTCGACCGGAGGCGCATAATTCTCTATATTCAAATACATTTCCACGTTATAAAAAATTGTTTCGTTGGAGGGCTTCCCAAGTTGCTGGAAGGATAATTAACCTGTCAACCAAGCATCCAATATGTTTCACTTTCTATCTTCTTTATTTGTATTAACATACTTATGTTTATAAATTTTACTGAAATTTTCCCGAAAGATGGCACACTATTAAACTGAGATGTGATCAAATTTATCACCTATCTATGTTTCTTTCATCATGAAAATCAATTGGCTGATGAGTAAAAAGTCTTACAAATCACAGATAAATTTTTGCATTTTTGTATGTCTCAAAATATTGCATTACATTATTACATTACATAATCATTTTTTTTATTATACCTGAATCACAATCTCCGTTTTAAACACCCAAATGCGTGCGAAAAAAGGCCTTTAAAGCTGGATTTATAGTTCCGTAGCCGTAAGAACGTAAGAACGGAACCGTAAAATCTTACGTTAACGAAAATAATACGATTTATAGTTCCGTAGTGGCAAGTGATGAGCTTGTGCATTAGCGCGTAGCGAATTCTGTCATTGTATGTCATCTGTCAGTAAGAGTAACGTGCATTTCAAAATAATAATAACCAACAAAGTGTCAATAATTGTTGTAAATAAACAAAACGAACGTCAGGATAAACTCAACTGTTTGAATTATTCGAGTACTACCGAAGACAAGCGCGTTAGCACGATTTACCGTAAGAAATAAGATTTGGGCATTTCCTACGTACCGTAACCGTTCTAACGCAACGTTAAGGCGAATTATAAATGTTAACGCGCAACACGTAGGGTTTAATTCCAAACGTTACGGTACGGTGTTGCGGATACGGAACTATAAATTCAGCTTAAAACACACGTGCTTTAAAGTTGCTAGTATCACAGACAACATATACTAATAGTATATGTTGTCTGTGCTGGTACAATGATAATTCAAGTATGACTTTTAAAACTGTCATCTGGGGTTGAAATACAAAATCCTCTTAGGTCGCTTTCTGTAAATGGAGAACCTTTCTTTGGCTTGTACCTATCCTTTGGTTGAAGCTTTCACAAACGCCCGTAATTTAGGGTATGCTTCCCAATCTGTTCCACTTTTAATCGCAGCATTGTTTGAAGTTTTGAATGAATGCACCAAAAGATAGATGATTTAAGTACCTTTGACATTTCCTTCATATATGCCAGCATTATCGATGCATTTAAGACTTTATTCGTAGTAACTTCCTATTCATCCATGGAAACAACTTTTCATATTCTTTATTTTGAATTTTATACCTACCAACGTTTCTTTAGATTTTACAACAAGCGATTTAATGGACGGTGTATTATGTTTTTCAACGGAAATCGTTTTATTCACAAAGACGATGATTTTTATAAGCAAACGTCAAGTGCATTTCCATGGCAATCGTGAAATTACGAACACCCAGCCCACTTAATTATAGACATGTATTCGAGTCTAACGTCAATATGATTTCATTGTATTCCTATTTTTAAATTATACTGCAGGTATAATAAAAAATACTATAAGATACACGTGTATAATTGGTCTTTAAAGCACTTGCAACGTTAAAGGCACTCCGCTTTGCATCGTGCCCTTAAACTCGTTGCGCGTGCTTTAAAGACTTGATTATACACTTGTATCTTAATATACTATTTTTTACTTGTAAGAACGTACACGCCGTATTATTGATCTGGCCGGCTCGTGTGGCGCAGTTGAGTTGAAGCTCGGTTGCGATACTTACGGTCCCTGGTTCGAATCCGGATTCGGGCATGGATATTTGTAAATGTATAGTGGGTTGGATAGTAGAACAGCCTTGGCTGAAACCCCGCCGACTCAAAAATAAACGCCATAAATAAACAAATAAATAAGGTTTACAAAAATTCACCAGGCCTTCTTTTTCAGTGCAAATTTGTATGTTTTTAAATTATAAAGTGTAGTTAACAATCCTTTTAGCATTTGTTTTCTTTTCAAAAATATGTATACCATAAGCGGGGTCAATTCTTCCTTTTTATCCTATATTTTATAGGTAATCTACTAATTCTAGGTGTCAAATATTAAATATCGCAATCATCGTAGTTGGCGGTTTGCAAATGTTAGTTTAGTCGACAGCGCCACGCCACGGCCACATTTTATATTTTTTTTCGTAAGCAACAACTGTTGACGATCGATTTTTAGTGAAGTGGAATTTTGTCATTACTATCTTCAACAAATTCAGTGAGATTCATTGTTCTACCCTCTACAGGAACACTGACAGTGATATCAATTAAGCAAGTTTTCAAATCATTGCAGACCGCCAACTAAAATGATTGCGATATTATTATTTTACACTTTGAATAACAGCTATAAAATATAGGATAGGATAAAAAAGAAGAAAATAAGGGGGCATATGATATGATATCACCATATTTTTTAAATCAGATAATAAAGCTCTGTCTAGTGTTGAAAATGAAAAGCTGATGATTGTTTTGAGAGCATTGCAAAGCCATTCAACTCCTCTCAAAAAAGTGTAGGAACGTAAATATATTCCCGATAACTTAATACACAAAGAAGTTATAGGCTTTCTCTGTCACTATAGTTACTCCCATATTAACAACGAAATTTGGCTATCCTGTGCGTCTTGCTAAGCTTTATACTATGCAATTAATGTCGTTTACTTTGCATAATTTAACCTTTATCTTACATTGATCTTGGTTGATTTTAGTATCAAAATTTACCAAAACTCTCGTTTGCTTAGAGCGGCATTGTGCTAAGGTTTACGTTTGTTGGTGGAATAGATTTCTTGCTTTTTGTTTCAAAAGAGCATAGATTGTTATAAAATTATTAGTAAATAGTAGTGTGATTAAAGAAAATGCAAATATTAGTGAACGGTAACATTTTCGGTTTTGGATAAAAGAACGAAAAACGTAATTTTTTAACTAATCTCGTTAATAATAATAATAATATTTAATAAATGTCCAACAGAAAAAACGTTCCAATTACAGGACAAACTTAAACTAATCATTAAGGAAGTAGTGTTTCTTGTAACTAAAAAATAACTAAATTAGTAAACTTATAACTAATATAAAAAGAATTGTAACCAAAAATTAACATTAAAAGCGTAGATCAAGATTTACCTTAAAAATGCCGGTTACTTAAAGAAAAAAACGAAACAAAAATGGTGACAAAACCGTGAATTTCCATATTATGTATATAACATAAAAAAGAAGAAGCAAGATAGATACAAAATGGACTTAATGGAATAACGACAACATTCCATTATTACCCAGCACAAACTATAGCGACGACGTTAGAGATACCAACCCCTAACAGACTCCAGAAACTGAAATGTTTGAATTATTCATAATGGATAGCCGATTTGTGTACTTTTTATTTACCCTTCACCAATTTACAACACCCCAAAGGAAAATGTAGTCATCATTTGTTACTCTGGACAAGACGACAAAGTTTGAGTGGTACCATTGAATAACATACTCAATACTGATACTTCTACATACATGTTAGCATTTACCGAAGGATACAAGGCTGTGATGAATAGGTAGAATGATGGGCTATTAGCATCCCACCAATATAATCTCAACAGACTTGTAGGTTTCCAAAACGCGGTAAAAAGTAGTTGTAGAAACGGTTTAACTTTTTTTCAATGCATAATTCATGAATCTGGACATTCACTTTGCGTGAAGTTATTTGACATTCAAGTTTATTTAGCTTTTTTAGGTACAGTAGGAATGTAAGTGCGCATTTATAATAGGTTAAATCGTAATTATCACAAACCTTGCCTTTGATTATTACTGACTGTAAACATAGAGACTAAAAAATTAGTCCATGAATAAAGAAGAGATCGACTTACTTTTTGTGTACGTGTGATTAGTGCGTAATGTGGAAAGACGAGCTTCTCTTTTACTCATCCTGTCATTCTCAAAAGCTGCTAATGACAAGGTGAGTCAGTGGTGGCTTCTATAAGGAAATTCTCATTGATAAAAATTGCGATGCAATCTAATTCCTTAATTAGAACGTTAGAAATAGGTGGAGTAAAATGAAAGGGGGATTAACAATTTGTCATAATTACTAACGGAGTGATGAAGGACAGGTGCGTATGTATAAATTGGAGGGTTAAACAAATGAAATCAGTGTACAGTCTTATTTTAAAAGAAGAACACAATGAACTCCTTCGTAAGTTCCTTACTCGTTTTTATTTAGATACTAAGTTCTAATTTTACAGGTCGTTGCATTCGCTTGCTTGGTCGCTTGCGCTAGCGCCAAACCCTCCGGTTTATGGGCTCATGGTCACGACCACCTCCCCTTAATCGGAGCTTCAGGTGTTGTTTCTAGTCACGGAGCTGCTGGACCAGCTGGCATCGTCACCGGTCACGGAGCCATTGGACCGCACGGAATTCACAGCGGAATTGGACATGTCGCCCATGTAGGCCATGTGCTCGCCCACGGACACGACGATGGACAATGGCACGGAGAAGGCCTTTTGGAATCACAAGACTGGGCTGGTCACGGCGCACACGTTATCGGTGCCCATGGTATCGCAGTTGGACACGGGCTTGCTCTTGGACACGGACTTGCCCACGGTCACGGTGCCGTAGTTGCCGGCCCAGCTGGCGCCATCGTCGCCCATGCACATCCAGGTGTTGTGATTGGTCACCATCATGGTCACTGGTAAACCTACAAGGAACCAGCAAAGAATCATTACACATGTGTAAATTAATCATTTTATTTAATGCATTTTGTAAATTTATAAAAAAAAGTATACGACACAAGATTGACACTCCATTTTTGTTCGTACCCTCGCCGCTTCTATAACCCAAAGCGAACGGTGTGTAGGACAGACTTAACAAACAAGAAAATATTTTCTTACAGTTTCATCCCCAACAATACTTTGATAACTATAAAATTGGTTGAGTGAAAAATCCACACTTCACTCAACGTTAATTTGTATCAAGGTTCATTTTGAATTGCCTTTAATGTGTATTAAACTTATTATTTATTTAACTTGACTTGCATGAGTATTCAACTTTAAACATTATTTGGAGGTTAGTTTCAAATGTTTCTTAAAAAACGATTCGATCTCTCGATTCCTCCATGTTGCTTGTAACGCGACCTACCAAAGTTATTTTTGAATTTAAACCGTACTTACTTATAGAATAACAGGCGTTAATATTACTTTCAAAGATGTTATAACTTGACATAACTGATAACTTCTTAATTTTGAAATTTACTAGATCTATGTGCACATGGCACATTTAAAGGGGTTAACAATTTATATTAATATTTATTAAATATAAAATATTTCTTCCATTGAACATGTTTGAGAAAAGGTGCCCATTATACAAGCTGCGTTTGCACGTAGTATATGCGATACTAATTTTTTGTTTTTGCACGAATTTCACCAGTAACTTCAGAGGTTAGTTTTCCTAAATGATCCACAAATTTTATCGCTTTAAAATTCCAAGGACCTAAGGTTTTTACAGCGAACGGGATAAAATAGAAATTTAACGCACCGAGAAGATTTTGTCAGTCTAGTTAGCTGACTTGGATGAAAATTGATTTTTGACGAGGATTAAGGTGGCGCGTTTACATTGAAAAATTGGAAATTTGTTTCCACAATAACTTCCTTCTGGGTACAAATTTTTGTTTGAAATAACTTTCATTCAAATATATAGCGTTCCGACATTTGCATGAAACAAAAATTATTTAGCTAATTCCGGTACTTTCGCTGTTATTTAGGAAATAAGTTCTTAAAAAACTCCCATTTAAAATATATATCTTTCATTTTTATCACACACATAATAATTTGTTATATCAAATTTAACTTCATTCACAAGCTTAAACCTTTAGCAACCATCGGTCGTTAACAGAAGTTCATTTTTTCACCTCGAAACAAAGTTGTTGAGGAAATTGCAAGGAAACTTTTGCACTTTTTGTAAACGCCACCTTAAGATCACTGCATACGTTGGTTATTGGTATTGGGTTGTCCGATGTTTCCCGTGAGAAAAACTCGTGCATTTGCACAATTGAAATGATGTAACGTATGAAAGAGCACCAACTTATGCAGTTTTGATCTTAATCCTCGATAAAAACCAATTTTCATCCAAAATAGAAATTCCGATCAATGAAATTCCTACATTTGTTTTCTGATGTCATCTTCAGAAGCCATAAGAGGATCAATTACATTAGGTAAAGGGTCAGGAATTGATAAGGACCTTGACGGAGCAGGATGTTCATCGCATAATTTAGTGAAAGTCTCTAACATCTTCTGGAATTACTTATTTAATTTTTACCGCATTTTCAACAAACCCGTAGAACTCAAGCTAGATTATAACGTCTGTTTGTCTGCCGCTTTGGCAGTGCGAACAGGCGTGTAGACAGTTAAACGTTTAAATTTCGTGCAGTGGCGATACCTTACCCTAGATCAAAGTAATAGAATAACTTCGTAGAAAGAACAGCCAAAATTCAAATGATAGGTATAAAAGTAGTTTCTTTCTTTTTCTAATTTAATCTGCGGTATTCTTTCGCTTTGATGATTGTCCAAGAAAAACAAAAAGTTAGGGATAATATTAAGTTTAACTTTTTTCTTGGTTGAGGTGCCAGAGCTTACGCTACCTCATGCAAAAAGAGCGAACTAAACATCTTGAAAAATGTAGGAGTAGTAATAGCCTCGGACAGACGGACGGGCGGAGAAAGTGGTCATAATAGTGCCTTCCAACGTGAGTTTGAAAATGCGCTAAAAATCCGTTAAAATTTCAAGACGATATCGGTACGTTTCTGGGTGAAAATTTATTTTGAGATGTATATATGTAGGGGAGAGGGTTGCATATATAACTAGGAGCTAATTTTTCTGGAATGGAAACGAATCACCTGAATCTTATTTACCTGGGAGTGTGTGGGAAATTTTCTGAAGCGAATATAGTTACCATGTTTTCACAGAAATCAAAGAGAACCGAGACGATTGTGGAGAGGTATTTCGGTAGAACCAAATTTTCGTTGTGAGAACAAATTCCTGAAGACCTAAAGAAGTGTTTCTTATGTTTTAACATGATTGTTTAAAAGCTGTTCCAGCCTGTTACAAAGACAACTGTAGAATTTGTAATTTTACCCTACATTTGGGGGGTAGATTCTTCCATTTATCTTCTCGATCTGCGAAATTTGTCCTTGCAAAAATTGTTGATTTTAACACAATATAACTACCTCTATCATTTCCATGACTTTTCTAGCGTTTGTGGCTTATTACAACGTTAATTATTTAAAGATTCTTATGGGAATTACTTCTAGAGGGTAGTTGTTGTTTTGTATGTTTATCGTAGTTTGTTTAAGTTATTTTCATTACGGGCATTTGCTTTTTTCCCTCATATGTTTAATAGAATCATACTTTGGTAGAACTTGGTTGGTCGACTGTAATATTTGTGTGAATTCAAATTCGAGTTCCAGAGAAAAAACTAAGAGGTTAACTGTTTAGTAGAAAAAAATGAACGCAATTGTTCTATTTTCGTGTTTTCCTATTAACACGCATAATTTTACTACAATACTCAAATCAACACAGAATTAATCCCTACGTTTGGATACCCTTGCAATTAAAGTGATCACTTCATCTACCCTTACGGTTAAAAAAAACACTACACATTCAAATTTTAAAGTGTCAATTTAATATCTGCCATAAAATAAATTATTTGACTCTATCCAAACGTAGGGATTAATTCTGTGTTGATTTGAGTATTGTATGTATGATTCTATTAAACATATGAGGGAAAAAAGCAAATGCCCGTAATGAAAATAACTTAAACAAACTACGATAAACATACAAAACAACAACTACCCTCTAGAAGTAATTCCCATAAGAATCTTTATAATTAACGTTGTAACAAGCCACAAACCAATTTCATAGACATCTGTCATTCTTATTAAAAGTAGGACGCGGAGCAGGATATAAAATGAAGTTCCCAACAGAATATACATCCATGGAAACGACGGGAGAATTTAAGCTTGTCATTTTGGGCGTGTAAATTAAATACCTACAGTTTTAAGAAGTTTCATAATTATTCTATGGCTTCTGCTATAAAAGTTTTGTATTATACACGTCGATAAAGGGAACGTAACACACTTCATACTCATGTACAATTTACGCATTTTTATTTCAGATTCATAATCCAAAACGCAGAATGACTTTACGTTGTACGTTTATACATTACCTTCAATTCAAGTAAGAACTCGTATATAAAGACGATCTATTTAAAAACAAGTTGTAAATCAGCATATACATGATTAAAGCGCATTTTTGGTAATGCAGGTCAGTATTTTATTAGCGAAGCTTAAAATTATCGATCTCACGAGTAATTTTGGCTGCGTTAAATAATTAATTTTATTTAATTTCAATTGACGGTACGTCTTCATTTTGTAAAACAAATTTAATGTTTTTATACTGGTAGCTATCTAACGGTAAAATTATAGACCTCCGAAACCCATATCGAAATTATTTTCTTCAATTATCGATCTCATAATCTAACTCAAAATAGACTAGTGCCTGCACATCTACACTTAGCAGAAAGCTTTTAGTGAAAATTTGAAGTCTCTAGCTATTGTAGTTGTGGAGATCTAACGCGGACAGCCGGCCTGCCAGCAATAACGAATATAATAGCGTATTTTTTTCAAAAATGCGCTAAAAAATGGGCAAGTTTACATTTTGTATTGCTTGAATTAATTTTGTCAGCTTTGAAGATAAAATCTTACCTATTTTATTATTTAACTATCTTTATCTTATTATTAAAATTAAAACAACTCTTGCTAACTCATCCGTAGGTATTACAGATTCATTACAAAAGGTGTCACTTACAACTATAAGTAAAACACTACGATTTTTAGTAGTAATTTTCTAGGAGAGAAAAAGATTCTGATACCCTGGCGCTGTCCCGTTCTGGTTAGCAGTCATCGTTCATTTTTATTTTAATTCTTGCCATATGTAGAAAACCATTTAAGTGGAAAATCCGAAAATGTGTTTTATAGGCGCAAACACCGTATATATTTATTAAATGTAAAATGCGACTTTAAAAAGGTCGTAATCTCGGTCGTAATTGCTGGTGGTGAACAGTGGTTTTTAGAACTTAAATCCCACTGACTTCTGAACTCCGACTGATTGGGACCAATTTCCTAGGCAGATCCCTTTAGCTTTAAAAATAGTTATATCCACTCGGTTTTTAAGTTACACATCGACCCCATACACAAATTGAGCTTTTAATTTCCTTGTGGGTTAAACAATAAGCTTTCACTTAAGGACCAATTGATTTGGGAGTAGGGAAGCAGAGATTTTACGTTTTTCTCGCCCTCGTTCAGTAGCTGACCAACGCCTCCGCGAAATATTTCACACCAGCAATGCGTATCCGTTTGTGGGAGCATTTTTTCCACGATCATTTTCTTGGAGGTTACGTTATGTAGGCAAACAAGAATCTTAAATGGGTTATTGAAACGATAGTAAATTGTCATCTAAGGCGGGAAACGCCCTGATGTAATTGACCACGAACATTATACGCAATGAAAAATAGATTGTCTAGGTCTTATGACAAGCAAGAATACGGAAACAATGAGCATTGAAGGTTGTTGATCAGTATAAAAGACGAAGGGTGACTTAAATGAAGCATAATCAAACACATCGGCAACATGAACGCTTTGGTAAGTAACTGAGTTTCTCGCCTTCCATTGAGATTAACTCTTTCATTACTAGGTCCTTGTCTTCGCAATCGCCGTGTCTGTAGCACACGCGTCCATTATCCATGGAGGTCCCGCGGCTTTAGTTGGACCTGCAGCACTTGGTGCAACAATTAAAGGACCGGCATCTCAAGCTTCGGTCGTAGGACCTGATGGAAGCGCAATTTCCGCGGTTGCTGATTCGGGCGCCGTCGTTGCCGCTCCCATTCCTGGTGGAGTAGTGTCATCCGCCGTTACCCATGGTGCTATTGCAGCACCTGCCGTTTTGGCAGCCCCAGCAGTTATCGCAGCTCCCGCTTTGGCAAAAACCATCGTTGGCGCTCCAGCTGGCGTCATCGGTCACGTTGGTGGTTACGGATGGCCCGCAGTCCACGGATGGCCAGCAGCTCACGGATGGCCAGCAGCCCACGGATGGCCCGCAGCCCACGGACTTTGGCTTTAAATTAAAAAGGCTGTTCTCGCCCCAGGATTGTGTTCAAATTATAGTTTCCTGAACTGTACAGAATAATATAATAATTTAATGCTCGAAGTTGTGCATTTCTAACCACAAAATCTTACGTCCCAATTGGTATGTTCCGCATTGTTACAGCTACCGTTTAAATTATGTGGTGTACCTACATGCCACACCTAACAATTGCATTCCTTCGGATTAAAAATAATTTTTTGTAGCAAATACAAGAAGAAAGGAAGCTAACCTTGATATCAATCGATCGCATATACAAACAACAAAAATCTCAATCCTGATTTCTTCTAATGCATACTGCTATTTTTAAAAAGAACTGTCTCGCCTTGCTGTTATGAATGTGGTTAATTCCAAAAATGACTTTCATTTCCATTGCAGGACGCATGACGCGTCCTCATTAAGTGTAATTAACACAAAGCGCTATAATTATGTTAAAGTAAATGGTGTGAAAATGTCAAAACCTGACGCTGGACCAGATAATCCCGAAGAGTAAGTAAAAATTCAACTAAAAAATGACACCTGTCTTTAGACAAATCCTTCTAGGGACTCCCCGAAGAAGAAAGTGAGGTTTTGGCACCGAACAATTGTAGTTAAAGGACTTGAGCGAGCAACAACCTTCATCATGATTATGTCCGCAATGTTTATAACGACCTTTGTCGTAACACTATTGGCTTGCATCAGTGAGTATTCGTGTACGCCTTCTTTAGAGAACAACCCTTCTGAAAAATCTCAATACCAACCCTAATCCTTTTTAACACCACTGTACCACCTAATTTTAGGAATAGGTACGATGCTCATTTACTAAAATAACATTTGCAGTGCTCAAATGTCCTTTTTTTAAATAAACATCGAATCTTAGCGAGTAATTAGAATATAACCAATATTATGCAACTCTGGTTTTGTAAAAAAAATACTCAAAATGTCGTGTGCATGACTAGTTCCATGCGTTTTTATGTCAATGTTAATTAAAATTAGATTAAAATCCTTGATATTGACCCGATACGCATGAAAAGTTTGATTTCAAAATCTATCGAATTACACAAATTTGAAACAAGTACTTGCTATTTTTAATTTTCAATTGAAGAAATTATACTACAAAATTGCTTGTATTTTTTAATTTTAATTTTTCGCTAAAGTAATACACGAAGAAATATTCTCTTTTATCTAAGTTTACAATTAAAATACGCAAGCTATATTGTAAACCGATATTTATGAATGGCGACATTCTCAGCAAATTACTCGAAACTATTTAATCGAAAATATTTACTCGTAGGTTAATTCCACTCCAAGCGTTGACAGTTTCTATGAAGAAGGTTTACTGAGGAAATGGAATTAAGCAAGTTTATGGCTGTTATTAGCAGACTCTGCACTGTGAAGAGTTTAGATTTTGATGTATCAAATGTAAGATTTACGCAATAAACTCATTTTTTTACTTTAATCTGGACACCATCTTATACAGAAGGGCCACCTCGAAGTTTAAATTCTGTGTATCTCTCTCTTCATATCCCACACTCTTGCCAAAAGTTTTACATTTTAGGTTTACAACATTCAAGACCCATGGAGATTATTAATGTGAATTGCTATCATTTTCACTCTTTTACTACGTATACCTATAGTGATCTTCAGGTGTTTCTAAAAAAGACTAAGTTGAATATAATTATATTAATTTAATATTACCTTTTTCCGCAGAGTCCAGCATTTTGAAATATAATACCACAATAATACCTAAAATTATAAATAACCAAAAAACAAAAAGTTTACTTGCAAAGTGCCTTAATTTGCCCATGCTCCCATGCGTACGAAAATATAGTTCGTTGTTTATCTCTTACACTTATTTTTTGGCCATCATCTCGATCACGAAAATTGTTGGGGAACCAATCCTGGACAATTGCTCCGTATCTAAAGGTGTTTTCTAAGTAGTACGCCGCATCAGAAAATTGTCCGCGTCGTGCTTTTAAAACTAATCCATATAATCTTGTCCAATGAAATCCCGTAGAAAATTTCATCAGATTTTTTAAATCTCTACAAAATTAGACTAAATATCGTTCTCGGAAAAGTGCCAGTAGATATTGGAAAATGTCCCTCAAATTTAGGCCCTCAACGCTTGCGTTTGAAATTACTTTCATCTGTGCTCTGCTTGCAAAAACACAAAACGTAAAAAAAGACATTTTTACATCAAACATGTCATTTTAGAAACGATTTGGATGCCTATAATGCAGACATTAAAATATAAAAATGCATTCTTTACGAACATGTACCTAAGTCAAGTTATAAGGTTAGTGCACCTACAAATTGTACTTGACCTTATATATTTCCTATACGTCATAGGTAATTAATCAAGTTTTATAATAGATCGCGTCCTCCTCCCTTGATCGATCACGACATAGTTAACGCTTAAATGATTCACTATTTATCACTTAATTAATATAGATGATTCTAATGGAGCTTTAATGGGTAGCAATTGGGTTTTTGTTAATGGCATCCTAGTGCTTTTGGTCTAAGAAAACCCAGTCCAGTATTTCCTCTTCTGGGTAAATTTAAGGTGTTGCACATGATAATAAGACACGTGTCCTTTTTAAATATTTGGCTTTGTGTCTGGAAGCTGTGAAAAAACGTGAATGGGTGTGTGCGAGGTCGCCCAAGAAGTATAAAACGCATTCTTCCGACATATGGGCATCATTCGTCAGTTTGTGCACCTACAACACAAAATGTACTTTTTCGTAAGTATACCACTCGCGTAATTAATTGGGGGATTAACGTCGCTCCTTTAGGCTTTTGCAGTTTTATGCGTCGCAGTGGCAAATGCCGGAGTTATCCCCGGTGCCATAGTAGAGACCATCGATGGAGGTGCTATCGTCCAAGGACCTAGCTCAAGCACCGCTGTACATGGACCAGACGGTAGTGTTATCGCCGCCGATGCTCCAGGTGGTACCGTTATTGCCGCTCCCAAATCAGCCGGTGTTGTAGCTGTCGCTCCTGCCGCCGCAGTTGTTGCCCACGCAGCTCCTTTGATTGCCGCCCCCGCCCACATTATCGGTGCTCCCTTGATTGCGCATTCGAGCCCACTTATCGCCCGTGCCCATCTCGGGTATCCCCTTCTCGCACCAGGATCGGGCCTTGAAGGACAATACGTGCACGACTACACCGAAACCTTATACGATAACGGGCAGTACCATGGAGAAATCTACCACTAAAGCATAATTTTATTGTTATTTAGGAGTGCGTTTTTTCTGTTGTACACGTTAGTCAAACAATTTAAAAAATAAAGAAATAAATTCAAATGTGAATATGGTAATGTGAAAAACGAAGGCGGTTCCATTTCTTCAATGCCACATATCTGGTAATTACTAGGTAACAGCGCTAATAATGGAATCGCGTTTTGGATAAGTCCGCCAAAAAATCACGATATCCGCATTTTGTTTGGGGAATGTTGGTGATGTTGCTGCGGTAACCCAAAAGTGATCTTTCAATCAATTAATTTTTCTGGTTTAACGAGCCATGGAGGTAAATCCCGCTAAGAAAAAGCTAGTAAGACCCGAATTTACTGGTCACTTGGCACGCCAAATTCAGAGAAATTTGGCTATGGCTATTGCTGGTGGGGTAACCAGTAGTTGTCTCTTTTACTTCTTCTACATTCGTAAGAAGAAGCAAGCGTATGCGGACTATCATAGGTATGCAAATTGGTGTATACCTAGATGTGTTTGTGTATTATTTCAGAACGTTTTTTAGGCAGTTGGACCCCGACGCTCTGTTTGAGGAAATGAGAGAAAACGGTGTGTTTCAGTCTCTAGGTGGTGCTTGAACTTGATATGTATCTGTAATAAACTGTTCCATTATGAAAGAAGGTATTATTTTTTGCCCCAACTCCTCGAGGCGCGAACCACAAAGCACTTTGCTTAGCTTTATAGGAGAACTCCAATTTTTGGATATCTGTGATCGTATAGACAAAAGGTTTTTAAAGAGGGACTTATATTATGATTGTGGTTGCCATAAAAACTAAAGAGACCATTCCGATCTTGGCTTCATCGGGGTCGCAGGACACGGCTCTTAGGGATTTTATATGTGGCGCTGTCCGGGGCAGGCGACTGCCATAAGATCGGAAGCACATTTGTCCGGACTGAATCGGTCCGGACCGGCCGGCAAAAATTCCGGAGTTGGGTATTCTGCTGTGACAATAAATCGTGAATGTCAATGATATTATCTTAGACCATATAGTACATGGACTGCTATTAGCCCTATGCTTTCAATACAAAATGAGTGGTCACGGATAGAGGGCACTGTAGTCGTGGGTATGTGAATCTCAGGGTAAACTAAAGTCGTGTAAACACCATTCTGATCCCGTAAAGAGTAGCTTTTATAGTAACCGCGTAGTACGGGAAGCTTTAAATCCTCTTGATTATCTTCTATGCGTCCACAAATAGCAATAGGTTTGTTTTTTGGCATATCTAGGCGATTAATTAATTGACGTTTATAAATTTATAGGTTGACAGTCTCAAATAGTGTCTAATCGGACAACTTCGGACAGACTCGTTTACCCTGAAACTCACATACCCAAGCGATGTCCTTGACCCTATTTTAGTTACAATTAGCAGTCCATGTACTATATGGTCTAAGGATATTATTCAATTAGGAGTTTTAAAGATCACTTTGTAAAAAAATTTCGTGTGCAACACGTGTTGAAGGTGTCTTTTTTGGTTGTCGAAAAGGGGATACGTCGGGATGGCTGACGAATCATGGATTATGCAGTGACAGAATTCTTCTAATCCATGATTCGTCAGCCATCCCGACGTATCGCCTGATGATGGACGAGAAATAAAGTCCGAAATCGATAGCGACTAACATTTTTATAATAAACAAATTAGTGTAATATTTTCGACAACCATAGACCACACACTAATTCAATATGGAGCCATTCATCAACAGTGTCTTTTTTGCTTGATTAACTCGGGCTTCATTCTCATTAATCAAACTGGAAGTTCATGAAAAAAAAACTATCACTTTCGAAACTTTTACAAATAACTGTTATGTGTCATTTTTTTCATTAAATTTATGCAATCTTTGCTACCGCTTCAAGAATCACTGGAGTCATAATACATAACACAGGTCAACAAAAAAATATTTTTTTTTGCGCATGGGATTTACATAATATATTCTGACTATAATAAGCAAATAAAAAGTGCAATTAGACATCGAAAATATTTGCTTTTACAAAAGTTATAGCGATTTGATTGAAAGCTTTCAGGGGCGAAAATTAAAACTGGAATCTTTGTTTTCCCTCAAATAAAAAGAAAAATGGAGGGTGATATTTTCCCGCGGTTACTTAGCAAAGAGGAAAAGAAATCCTGGAACAGTTTTAAGGCGATAGTCCATGTTTTCCCGTTCAGTGTTTCCTGGGAAACCATCGAGCTGAAAATTATGACGAGCTGACAGGTTTTGGTGTTGCATCATCGGGTATAGAATGTCTCTTAAGATGCACAGGTTACATTTTCATTTAGATTAATTTAAGGATAATATGGGAGCTTATTCGGAATAACAAGGACAACCCTTTCATCAAGACATATTGGAATTTAGGCACGTTACCAAGGCCAGTAAGCTGGAAGCATGATGGAAGGTCATACTTGGGGGGTTGATGAGAAAAACTTCAGTTGAACATGACAAAAACAGCAAAACTGTTCCATTTTTAAACATTTAGACTCTAAGACAAACAAATTTTAAATGTAGGAACGTTACCTTATAATAAATCATGCCAATGTAAGTAAGATTTTATAGGTATTTTTATTTTTTGGTTTTTTGCATTTTTTTCGCACAAAAACAAATACATAACCTTTTTTTGTTCTAATTCTTATTTGTGGCTATACAAGCAATACAAATAAGGTATATATGTCCCATGCGCAAAAATGCTGTAGACCAGTGCTGTTTTAAGTACAGCCTATTATTATATCTCTTTGGATACGTGTCACGTAATTGAGACCAATTTCCTTTTCAACTTCTCGGATTAGGTAGTAGTTGTAGTGCGCTATTCAGTCGCTTTTCTGAAGGAACGTAATAGGGACGATCGATGTCATTTTAGGGATGAATGGGGAGCAATTGTTCAAATATTTAGATCGATTATACATTTACACGTATCGTCCCTTAAAAAACGCTAATACATTTTGTTTCGGAATTGTTGACCACTTGAATGAAAATATTTTCCTAAGTGGGTTTTTTAGGGAACATGTAATGGGGACTATCAGGATCATTTTAGGGATATTAAATCGCAATTGTTCAAACATTCAGATTTATTATAAATCTACACGTACCGTTCTTCAAAAAGCGCTAATAAAGTTTGTTTCATTCTGAATATTCAGGTAGGGTTTAGTCAAATATTCGATTTATAAATCAACGTGTATCTTCCCTTATTATTATGATCGGTGTTTCTTGTGAGAACTCAGGTCTAGCCTGGTTAACTAATCGCACGGATAAAAATCAAGTAACGATTAGTGTCTGGTGAAGTTATGTAGAGTCCTTAAAAAAAAAAAAAAAAAAAAAAAAAAAAAAAAAAAATTCACACACGTACATTGGACATCTAGGGATAATGTAATTCGTACTTACCAACATACCTATTGATGGGCACAATAGCCAACGCTATCAGGAAAGAGGAAAACAAAACAAAAAATCATTATAATAATTCCTGTAATTTTATTAAATGGAGTTTATTGTGTAAGTGTTTCTTTGGCTTTGCGTTTGGGTTGAATACGAGTGGGTTGTGATAAAGTGGTGTGTTTCTGTGAAGAAGGAGTTTTGTGTTTTTTAATTGTATTTATGGTGTTTCTTTGNCGTCAGTTAGAAAGATATGGAAAACCTTAGAAAATGAAGATAAACTGATAAGTTCTTTAAGGGTTTTGGCACATAATGAATTGAACTAAAATATTTTCAAGATGGCGCCACTTCCGGAAATACCGGAAGTAGCCATCAACTTTGTTATTTTAAATAGGGACCCACTATTTTTTCTACATTTTTCGATTCTACGTCAAATTTAGAGTACAACGATACCCCATAGTTGACCCTTTGCTCCAAGGGCTTCGCCGATATTCAAGTTTTTATTTCAAAAATTGAATTTGCAGGGGTAATTTTAAAAATTTATTATTCGAAAACGGTGAGAGATATTGCAACACAGTTTTCACTGATTTATTAAAGAAAGATCCAATGGTATGCGTAACAGCCTAAAAAAGTGAGACTACGTCACTTTTTCAAAGCTCTCAGCTTTTAAACTTTTAAGTAACTATAACTCCATTTTTTCAAATGACACCCCCCATTTTGTTCTTCGCCCTTGTTTTCCTTTTTCTCAGACTTTTAATTTGATACAAAATGTCAAAAGCTCCTTCAAACGGTTTCTGAGATATTCCAGATTTTTAGTTACTTCTTGTGGCAAATTGATAAAAAAATTAAGTCGCTTGATGTTATTCTTTTGTTTTTATTATGATAATATTTAAACGTCAAATTTTTGCTGCTTGAACTTATACTTCTCGTCAATAATGGCTCGTTTGGGTTACACTATTGAAGATTTTTTGAATTTAATATTAATACACGGTGAATGTAATTGAATAGCGGCCAGGACTTGCCGTCTTTTTTCCGAAAAATACCCTGACAAGGCGCAACCCACAGAGGCTATAATTCGCAAATTAATACAAAATTTCAGGAATAACGGTACGTTTCAAACAAAAATACAAAAAAAGGAAGCCTATGGTAGACCCTGAAGAACAAGAAATAACTGTAAAATACGACAGTACAGAGAATTCTTTGTGCACTCGTGTCTGATATGTCAATTTCTCTTTGGATATCATTATGCGATGCAGTTGGATTTGCAGCAAAATACGCCAGTACAGCTGTTATTTCTTGTCCTTTAGAGTCTACCGCAGGCTTGCTTTTTTGTATTTTTGTTTGTAACATACCGTTATTCCTGCAAATTTGACGTTTAAACATTATCATAATAAAAACAAAAGAATTACATCAAGCGAATTAATTTTTTTATTAATTTGCTACAAGAAGTAACTAAAGCATGGAATATCTCGGAAACCGTTTGAAGCAGCTTTTGACATTTTGTATTAAATGAAAGGTCTACGAAAAAGGAAAACAAGGGTGAAGAACAAAATGGGGGGTGCCATTTGAAAAAATGGAGTTATGGATATTTAAAAGTTTAAAAGTTGAGAGCATTGAAAAAGTGGCGTAGTCTCACTTTCTTAGAGTATTACGCATACCATAAGAAAATTCGATCTTTCTTTAATAAATCAGTGAAAACTGTGTTGCAATATCTCTCACTGTTTTCGAATAATAAATTTTTAAAATTACCCCTGCAAATTCAATTTTTGACATAAAAACTTGAATATCGGCGAAACCCTTGGAACAAAGTGTCAACTATGGGGTATTGTTGTACTCCAAATTTGACGTAGAATCCGAAAATGTAGAAAAAATGGGGGGTCCCTATTTAAAATAACAAAGTTGATGGCTACTTCCGGTATTTCCGGAAGTGGCGCCATCTTGAAAATATTTTAGTTCAATTCATCATGTGCCAAAACCCTTAAAGGACTTATCAGTTTAGTTTCATTTTCAAAGGTTTTCCATATCTTTCTAACTGACGCTCGTCAAGAATGACCTGTATAATGTTCGGAAATGACAAGTCCCGAATGAATGGCGCATCAATATATGACACTATAACTTTGAAGTTTGGCAGAATCAGGCTCAATGAAATTATTAGGAGTAATAATTATCGATCAAACTTTTAAATGGAACAATCTTGTGACCATCTCTTTCATTTCTGTACACGGTTATCCAAATTATGCTACCCGTTGCGTATCACGTCGATCAACTGCAGTGAAGATATTCTAACTTTTATTCCGTCATGAAATTCTGGGGGGTTGCTTCAGGGGTTTTGTCATTCAAAAAAGAGCAATACGTATCATATTTAAAATAAAGCTGAGTGACATTTTTAAAGAAAAGAACTTGTTAAATTCAATGTCTGTATGTAGTGTAACATACATATGTACGTTGCTGTATTTTTTTATCGAAATTCAAATTTCTACAACATTTACACTCATGGTATTGTCCAGTGCCACAAACACAAATACGCTGTAAAAACTAGGTGCTAACGCACCACAAAGCCTTTTTTGTTGTTTTATTAATTTCTTCAAAGTCGCGGACGAATTTTGATTTTGGGTACATTCCAAGACTACCTGTATGTTGTATATTTCAAGTATTTGTACATCGCTGCAATGAGGACAGTTGGTTGATGGCATTCCATTTAAACAAAATCGCCTTAGAAGGATCATCCAGTTCTTATTCGATCGAAAGCAGGAATGTTAGTTGTATTGCACCTATACATTTCTGCTTCACGAATAAATATCTCATCTTATCTAATTGATTACGTTTTAATTGTTTCATTTCGTTAATCAAATCCAGATTGCCAAAAACGACATTATAAACGAGCATTATTTCTGATAGTGATACACACAGTATCGTTACGTACCTAGGATAAAAGATAGCAATCTCATAGGAGCTAACTATAAAGGAGGCAAAAAAAAGATTATGCTTCCTTTTTCATTGCTCGGTCATATTGGCATATTTAGCTCCTTTCCCCATTTCGCTTTTGCAACCACTACGCAAAGAGTTCGTTTTGTGGACTGTATTATAGCATTAAGGTTTTTTTCTGCTCTAGTACCTACTTAAGCACAAAAATGCCCCACAGTCCCTCATCACCAATGAGTAAGTAAAAATTGAGTTATATTCTTTTAAGGCAGTTGTCATCTTTAGTTTATACACTGGGTTTATTGCTGTATGTTATGGTAGCATTCCCAGGAATCACGTCTGCAGACGACATCCTCGTTGTCTTTAACGTTGAAGAAAAACTACCTGTGCAAAAGACAAATAAAAATTTTCTGAATGTAGCTATAGATACCTCGCAAATGATGAAGAATTTTTCAAATATCGACATAAGGTAAGGGGAACCGGGGGTAGGTAATCGAATCCTTTTTTAACTTAACGTATATTCTCCTCTTGTAGAGATGACAAATTGGTAAAGCTGATGAAACCTTTAGCGCCCGGATATTTAAGAATCGGTGGCAATATGGCTAGCAGTTTACTATTTGATCCAAACGTTACAATTACTCTATACTCTGATGCCGACTACGAAATGAGGAAAGAATTTACAATGTCAGGTTAGTAAAAACCTGTGCCATATCCTTGCAGAAGAGTGTTTCCTGTTCATCAATTTCAATTTGAATATGTTATACTTAATTTGATTGTTTTACTTTTTATTTACACAATTACTTTTGTAGCAACGGTATGGGATGATCTAAATAACCTCGCTAAAAGATCAGGTTTAAAAATTCTTTTCGACTTAAATTATTTAACACGTCTCGATGGAGATAAGTGGGATCCCAGTAATGCCGAAGAATTAATCAAATACTCGGCTAAACGCAACTATTCTCTCGACTGGGAGCTGGGCAATGGTAAATTTAATTCTAAAATGTCGTTACCGAATTTTCAACTTTTAGAACCAAATCTTTACCCGAAACATTTCAACTATACACCAAAGCCTGAGCAGATGGCCGAGGATTTTAGCACCTGCCGTAACCTTTTGAATTCTTACCCGATTTACAATACTTCGTTATTGGTTGGACCGGCCACAACGAGGCCCACTACGATGACCACACCCGCGAGCAAAATACTATCTGGGTTCGTTAAACATGGAAAGGATTACGTTGATGCTGTCACTTGGCATCAGTAAGTTACGTGTGTTGTTAGATCAGACAATTTTAACGCGTTGCTGCAGCTATTATTTCGATGGACGTGAAGCTAACATCTCCCACTTTATGAATCCAGATGTCTTCAACCTACTAGACACGCAAATCACTAATTCAAAGGAAATACTCAAAGAAGCTGGAGCCAAAAAGAAGTCGATGTGGTTAGGTAAGTACTTACTTAAAGTAATTTCAAAGTGCACAATATACCCTTTTAGGTGAAACGTCCTCGGCTTTTGGTGGAGGTGCCCCGGGTTTATCAAATACATTCGTCGCTACATTTATTTGGTTAGATAAACTTGGGCTGGCGGCACGACAGGGGATAGATTTGGTTATTCGACAGGCATTATTTGGAGGTAACTATTCCTTATTGGATAGTGATCTAAACCCGTTACCCGTAAGTACTTCATCGATGACGATAAGCATATTACTTACGTTATTGTAGGATTGGTGGCTTAGCATCATCTACAAAAAGCTAGTGGGCCGTCGAGTGGCCCCTTGTAAGATTTTCGCCCCAGCTGAAGTCAGACTATACTGTCATTGCGCCCGAAAAGTCTTCCAAGGAACCAAGTCTGTTGTTCGTAAGTAGTTATATAATTTGACAATCTAATCATCGTGACTTTCAGTTTTTGGTTTGAACGTTAAAGACTCCGCAGAAAATGTCAAAATAGCAGAGTACGCTGGAGACGTTTGGGAGTACAGACTGAGTGCAAAATATCTCACTTCAAAGTACGCTGAACATTACCCACGCTTGCGTGCTAATTTTGTATTTTTCCAGGAAGATGCAGCTGAATGATAAAACATTATCTGTTACAAGTGACGGCATCTTATCACGCATATCTCCCGTAAAAATTAAGTCGAATAATCTTAAAATACATGGCCATTCCCTTGTGTTTTGGATTATACCTATGGAACTTGCAAGTTGTTCATTGGAATAGGTTTCTTTATCATGGTTGATGGTGTATATCACGGAAACACTTATTTTAAAAAATATATTTTTTTAAATAATATAAACTGTTAATTTGTGATATTTATATAAAAATACGTAACTAAGATATGAGCAAACGTCTATCTCTGTCTTTCAGGGCCAACTCGAATCACTGAATTATAATTCATCTTTATAAAAAAATAAGTTATTTATGCGGTAAAGGGAGATTTTAACCTTTAACTGAATTAACTTTGACGAGATGGTTAGTTTCCCTTTATCGTCTGTATAATACAAAACTTTATTTTATAGCAGAACCCATATAATTAAATATAAATGCTGGTGACAATTCTGAATCATTGTATTGTTCTGAACTTCATTTCATTTCATGCCCCACGTCCCATTTGAAATAATTATGAAAGATGTCATCAGAATGCACAATTATCTTTTCACTAAATCCACCCTTGCGGTTAAAGTGATTCTATCCTTACGATTAAATAACCTAATCACTTAAACCTATATTAAAATATCATAATTTAACATCTGCTATAAAAAGAGTTTTTTTAATAGTGAACAATGTTACTTTTTTTAAAGACTTACTATGGGTTTGCATGACGTTGAACAAAGCATCAATTTTTGAGTGACAATAAATCGTAAATGTCAATGATATTATTCAACTATGGGTTTTAAAGATCACCTTCTAAAAAAATTTCGTGTGCAACACGTGTTGAAGGTGTCTTTTTGCTTGATTAACTCGGGCTTCATTCTCCTTAATAAGAAAAAGTGTTTTCCCGAGAAATTTTGGTGCAGTCGATTTTTGGTAAAAAAGGAAGGTTGTACACTGCCTTTTTTGAGACCCTCAAAAAAATTGTCTCGGATCGACCCGGAAAAAAATTTTTCTTATAGAATGTGGCCTGTAGAATCCATAATTTCAAACATTTCCAAGATTGGGCTACTAGTTCAAAATTTACAGCCCTTTGAATTTTCTTTCGAAATTGGTTTCTAGTCTATAACTTTCTATTGAGAAGTCTGATCGAAAAAGTACGAATTGTTTTGGATTCTACGCACCAAAATTAATAAGAAAAAGTGTTTTCCCGAGAAATTTTGGTGCAGTCGATTTTTGGTAAAAAAGGAAGGTTATACACTGCCTTTTTTTGAGCCCCGAAAAAAAAATTGTCTCGGATCGACCCGGAAAAAAATTTTCTTATAGAATGTGGCCTGTAGAATCCATAATTTCAAACAGTTCCAAGATTGGGCTACTAGTTCAAAAGTTACAGCCTTTGAATTTTTTTTCGAATTGGTTTCTAGTCTATAACTTTTGATTGAGAAGTCTAATCGAAAAAGTACGAATTGTTTTGGATTCTACGCACCAAAATTAATAAGAAAAAGTGTTTTCCCGAGAAATTTTGGTGTAGTCGATTTTTGGTAAAAAAGGAAGGTTATACACTGCCTTTTTTTGAGCCCCGAAAAAAAATTGTCTCAGATCGACCGGGAAAAAAAATTTTCTTATAGAATGTGGCCTGTAGAATCCATAATTTCAAACAGTTCCAAGATTGGGCTACTAGTTCAAAAGTTACAGCCCTTTGAATTTTTTTTCAAATTGGTTTCTAGTCTATAACTTTTGATTAAGAAGTCTGATCGAAAAAGTACGAATTGATTTGGATAAGTATAAGGGTAATGATTACCATTACGTTGAGGTATAAATATTGAATGTGTGAATATTTTAATATGAAAATACTGTTTTTACGGGAATAAATGGTACATAGAAATATTTTGTTTTACAATGAATATTTCCCCACACAGGAAAGTTGAAGGTGAAAGGTGACTTTACGCCAACTCTTCAGTTACCTATCTCGTACGAAATTGCACGAAGAGCATTTTCAGCTAAAAATATTTCATCTAGCCCTAGCGATATATTTGCAAAAAGCCACGAAAATTGATGATTTTCGCCGCTTTTATGAATTTCCTAGGCTAATAGGTACACCTAGGCTAACTTCTGAGTATCTACCTTGTATGAAATTTCCCGAGAAATATTTTCAGCTAAAAATATTTCATATAGACCTCATAGATTGCGAGATATCAGCCAAAAAGAGCGCAAACACGGTTTTTGGGGGATGGTGGGGTGGCTGGAGCCTTTAGCACAGAGTCTGGAGGGTGGGATTTTTAATATGTTGTTTTTGACAGCTAACTGAAAATATTCTATCATTTTTCCTTTTCCACCTCAAAATGTCCAGTTTGCCAATTTTACAGTCTCTATCGCCTAGACTACTTCCAACTATAAGTTGATTTTTCATTTTCAAGTTTCAATATTTCAAAAAATTTTCAGTAGTACCTAGTATAAAAGGCATTTTAGGTAACAGTGTTTGCGCTATAAAATTTTTAATGAACTAAACAACACTAATCAGCGTGTTCCAGGATTTTACTAGAAAAACAGGAAGTGTAAAAAAGTGTTCTGTGTTTAATACATCGAGGATAGTTTCTTATTAAATTTTCAGTATGTGTGAAATTTTAACACGATTTGTAGATTTAACGATCCAAATAAATTCTAAAGGCACAGTCACCATGAAATGTTTGATGATGATACTACCTGTTTTGTTTTGAGTGGCGTGTCCGTGAAATTAATATCACGAACTGAATTACAACAACTGACTCACTGACACGTCCGAAACTCAACAAGTAATTAAATTAAATTCATTAATACATTAAATTAAATTAAATGCACCAAGGGTTAAAATCAATTCTGGTTTCTGATTGAATGAATAATCCTATTAATTAAAGGTCTCAATACCTATCTGTTAATCTCTAATTCGTAATTTATATATCTAAAAATATTAAACGCATGGGCAAATTTGAAGGTAAAAAAAAACCATCCCACTTCCATTGATTATACACAGTGCATACACGTTATTGGTTACTGGCTGTACATTAGACACTGCAAAATTGCCTTTATGGCAGACACGGCCACATATATGCTTTTCATTACCTAACCTTAAAAAAATATCATCATGGAAATTACGACACAAACAAACGTAAAGGCATCTTCAAAAGAAAAAGTCAGAAAAAAATTCCACGATTGCCCCTACGAGCATTGCTCAGCTTCTTTCACGAAGAACAGCAAGTTAGTTTACCACATTCGGAGACATACTGGAGAGGTTTGTGCGATATACTTTTTTAATTTGATGTAATACCCACTTCTAGCGACCTTTTGCTTGTGATGCACCCGGTTGTAATAAAACGTACCTCTACTCCTTTCATCTACGTCGCCATCAAGAATCGCATAGTGCAACACCTCGAGGCCAAATAACATGTCCCATTCCTGGTTGCTACCTTCAATTATCCAATCACAGCAATTTGAAGAGGCACATAAAACGCAAACATAGCAGTAACGATCATTACCAGTTTCACTGCGACTATTGTAAGCAAGGGTTTCATAGGAAAAGGCAATTACTGAATCATATTCATTTGCACACCGGCGTCGCATCCTTTCAGTAGGTCACTGTTGTTCTTATGTTGTGTAATCCGTATATTTTAGATGTGTACTGTGTGACAATCTGTTTCTTACCACGACAGAGTTAAACAGGCACAAGCGCCTGCATCAAAAATACTATTGCAAATGTGGTGAACAATTTGAAAAATGGAGTGTACTAGTCGCTCACAGGAAAACTTGCGATAGTTCTAGTAAGTTGTACTCTCTCACTATCTGATTTTGTTTAAACTTGTTGCAGAGAAAGTGTGCCGTGTTTGTAACATGTCATTTGAGCACAGTGGTAACTTTAAGTCTCATTTGGAAACACACTTCGCGAACGCCGCACATAAATTTATATGTGGTTATGACGATTGTAATCGATCGTATATGTATAAGAAGAATCTAACATGCCACATTCGGAGATTCCATCAGAAACAACATCTAATTAAGAAGTTGAAGTGCACAGCACCCGGATGCCAGATGACGTTTGGTAGAAATGTAAGTAGGTATAAGGAAAAACTGGTTTAACACTTACTTGTGTGCTTTTCAGCAAATTCTCAAGAATCACATTCAGAAATGCCATAGCGGAAAATCAAAACTAAGAAAGGAACGCAAGCCTCGCAGAGACAAGGGTGTATCGAAGCAGAGTACAGCAGCAATCTTAGCTGGCTTAGAACTTCCGAGATCAGTACATACGGATATTATTAAAGGGGGCACAATAGACTTTTCCATGATAGAAAAGTTACCTAATCTCATTAACCCTGTGTTAAATAAATGTTCTGGTAGTCCGATTGAGAAATCTGATTCGGAACCAGAGCTTGTAAAAGAAGTGTGTTAATAAAATTTATACTAAGAATTTTTTTGTTCGTTTATTCTATATAGTTTTATGCTTGCATGTTGAAATTTTCAATATGTTCAAAAATCGGCGACATCAAATGCTAATGGGATACCCAGCAAATTATATAAAGGCCTCTAATTACGTGTAGTGTCGCTATTGTTTAGGATTTAAATTCCCAGAACGTGTTTCTTTTGAAAACGGTTTTTAGGGAGGACATCTAACGTTAGTGCAATAAATTGGATGCTTTCTGGCAACAATTATATTAGCAGCATCTGTGGGGAAGTTTAGATCATATATTTGTATGATCTGGTGATATTGTAATTATAATAATTAAGTGCCCTGCATTATGCTTGGAAAATGCGAGAACGCAGTGCACGATATTGTCAACAGATGTCCGAACGATGACTTGAATAAAAATATACTTATTGAAACCAAAGATCATGTATAATGCTCGCGGTAGGGCTATTCTTTCCCGACCCTTACACGGATACTAGTTTAACGTAATTTCATAATATCAGAATTCAAAGACATTGATTAAAGTTGTAGGTGTGTGTTGTTAAATGAGCAAAGATCGGGATAACCCTCGCATCCTTAAGAAGTTGAGGAGTCGCCACACTTCATTGACCTTACTCCTCTATACTTTAATCGTTACATTATATTATTTGTTTTCTTAACATCAGACTGTTCAAGTATATACGATAAAAATACGTTCATAGTATTTTACAGTCCATGGTGATAATTTGTTGTCCCGAAATTGTCTGACTATTGTTCTTCTAGTATAAAAACAGTCACGTCAATCATCGCAGGCAGCCGCCCACTGCAAAACTGGTCGCTTGTGGAGGTGTGCACGAATTATGCTAATCTCTGTCTAGCACATGTGAAGAAAAAGACATAAGTTTTACAGTGGGCGGCTACCTGCGACTGTAGAAAACAGCAGCCACAACATGTTAAAGTTGTAAAACCATTTGTTTTGCAATTAGGTAAATTGTGGTATAGAACTATAAACTTTTAAGCGTAACAGATGTCACGTGCTTGATTCTTCAGGAGTGAAAACAGTACATATATATATACAAAGAATATATAACGTTATACCGGGTGAATATTTTAAAACCGAACATAGGTAATTAACATGGGGAAAACGTTTTTTGCATATCGTTGCGCCCCATGTTAACTTAGAGGGTTATCATAGGGATTTCAATGTAAAATTCGTAACATGCGATTATTGGCTCCCCAAATTATTTTAGAGCAAAAATGTATTAAACTTTTTTGTAGAAAAATTTTTACGCCAATCAACCGTATTAGTTTTCAATTTTTTTCATATAAAGACGGAATTTTTTTCAATAATCTGCGATGCCATGGAATTTTCTAAAACAAAAAGATATCCAGTTGTCAATTAGCAGCAGTCCGAAATGGATTTTATGATCGACTTGGTTACTGCCTTGCAGTTAATGGCGACTTATTCGAACATTTATTGTAAATTGTTATATTAGGAAACCGTTTTTGGTAATTTGGTCTTTCTTTATGTTGAATTCGCTGTTCTAAATATAATACTTTTTGATAGAATTTGATTTGTTTTATAGCATTCCATGGCATGACAGATATTGGCGTATAGTTTTTGTATTATAAAATTCCATGGCATCACATATTATTAAAAAAGATGCGGGTTTTATTTTTCCAATTTTCCGTCTATATTATGCAAAAAAATTGAAAACTAATACGGTTGATTGAAGTAAAAAATTTATTTCTACAAAAAACCTTAATACGTTTTTGCTCTAAAATAATTTGGGGAGCCAATAATCGCATGTTATAAATTTTACATTGAAATGCAGCATCGTTTTGGCCACTGGAAGAACATTTGTTGTGTTGGGAGAGGATTGGGACAATTATTTATCGTGCTATTTGTTCTAAATTGACGAACTCTTTAATTTATAATGACATTATGAACCCATACTTTAGAGAGGATTTATGCATATAACGACACCAAATTCTTATGCAATATAGTAAATATGATAAAGATATTTAATTTAAAAAATGGTAACGTAATAATCAAGTGAAACCATTTTAAGGATGTGTAGGTACGAATTTACGAAATATTTGGATTGATTTTACAGGGTATTTACGGTCTTCTCTGTATCCTTTTAAGGGGCGGCAGTACAGCTCAAAAGGAATCGAGAAACCCCATAAAACCTTAGTAAAAGTTATTTAATAAGCGAGATGTTTTATTTTTTTACATTAAACGATTAATCTGTGTACAAATCTAGCAATCTATACTACTTAATCAGCATTGTCCACTTAAATTATTTTTTACAAAGGGGTTTTGGGGTTTATCGACTCCTTTTGAGCTGTACTGCCGCCCCTTAAAAGGATACAGAGAAGACCGTAAACACCATGTATACATTTACACGTAGGTATCACTCTTAAAAAGTGGCAATCATTAAAAATAATTTTTAGATTTTGTTGCCCTTCTCTGGAAATGAAATGGGGTGACGCGAGACCACTTTAGGGATGCTTAGCAATGAATTTATGAAATATTCAAATTGATTATAAATTGACACGTATCACTATAAAAGTTCTTTCATTTATCCTCAATTTCACTGAATATAATTTTCTAAATTAATGCCGGTTGCACCGACAAATTTAAGCGAAGCTTAGCTTAAAATCCATGGCAACCATTGTGGCAATAATCGCTGCCATGGATTTTAAGGTACGCTTAAATTTGTCGGTTCAAACGGCCATTAGTCGTCTTTGTCAGAGAACGTAGCTAGACTGTTTTTAGTGATGCTTAGGTAAGAATGTATGAAATACTCGAATTCGTTTTAAATTGACACTATGGTCCCTTACACACCCTATAAAATTTCTTTAATTGACGTTCAATGTCATTAAAGTATTTCATTTTTTCTAAATTATTGCAAATTCAACCCCCGCATCGCTTCATGGTGGGAGTTTAGTGGGAGAGACTAATTAGTTCTATTAGCAAACTGTTAAAACGTGACGTGAAGTTCATTATCACTAACCATACAATTATTCATTGTTCCCAGACGCAATGGGTGGATTTACGCATAGGTTGAAAGGGTAAAACCTGGAGCGATAGGGAAACAAAAGCGCCAACGATTAAAGTAATATAAAAATCGCTTTACTTCGAAAGGATTTTGTTTATTCCTCAACCTTGTTACATTGTCAAAAAAAACTTACTTCGAACAGTACACCCTCGAGTACACCATTGCTACAGATTCTGCTCACTCGTGCCATATGTTACACACGTTTCTATCGTCTTATCAAACATACATACAGATTTATACTTGGACTGAATCAAATTAGAATGATTAGAACCACACTTACCTAAATGGAAACAAGTATAAATATTGTGTACAACTCTTAAAAAAATTAATACTACGGGAAAAATACTAAGGTACGTGAGAAAGGAAGATACTACGAAGAATGTATGCGAAGAGATGGCATAGATGGCTATTACTAAAGAACAAACAAAGAATTATACGAGATCTATCAAGCAAAGAATACTCCGGAGGTTATAGAAGAGAAGGCTGCAATGGGCAAGAAGTTATAGAACAAAAACTCTGCTCAGACGGAAATTTATAATAAATATGAAAATGTTCATCCATAATTCAATTAAAGTGGTAATAATAGATTTTGGCTACACCGTCCTAGTTAAAATTAGTGATTAAATATTTGATCAGCTTTTGAGCGGTAATTATAGTTCACATACCTACCTACTACAACTTGATATTGTACTAAGAATCTCGAAATGGTCATCTCAAGTGCAAAGCTAGTTTGTTGACAAGTGAATGAACTTAATTTTCCATGACCTGCTGGATAATTGCATGAAACATGAAATGGTCGTAAAAGAAATTACGACTTTCTACGAATGTCATGTCACGGCCTCTTGCTGTTTATATTTAAGTCAAGGTTGTGTTATATCACCATTAAGTAGGTACCATCAAATGTAAATCAAAACCCAAATTACTATTATTAAATGTGCTCAAGGACATTTTCCCCACGAAAAATGGGAAAAAAGTTTCATTCCTCCTGGTTTTCACTGGAAAGTACTATCACAAATGTAAACAATCTCCACTATGATTCTGTTCTCTCAGATTTGGGCTTCTCCTACGCGAAACGAAAATTTTTACTTGGAATATCGATTTATGGTGAGAATTGAATTAAGCCAGGTACCTTAACATCTAAATCGGTTTTTGCTCTCTGTTTACAACAAATGGTAATTGCTAGGCGTTGAATGATGAACGCCGCAATTGCATTGCAATTATGCACACCGACTACTTCCGAAACAGATGTACGATGTACGGCAGCAGGTACCATTATTCTCGTGTAAAAATGGCGTAAACACATCGTTGATTCGAGTTCAAAGTCCTAGCGCCCTGCATGCCTTCATACTTAAACCGCCAGCCATAATTACCCATCGCATTCGTTGTCAATACATCGACAAGTTATCACCTATTATGCTTAAAGTTGAACTAGACCTAGATCTAATGATGTTATTGTGTGCAATAGTCCTAGCTGCCATAGTTTTACTTTTTGTACTGATTGACATTCAGTATTTTGTGCGAAGTATCTTCGTTTTGGTATGGGGAAGAATTTTCGAACCGAGGAAACGACCCGATGAACTTACTACAATTTTTGGTGAGTGACATTGCATAAATTGCCCGATTAATTCACTTGTACTGTTAGGTATGTGTACCACAAGCGATTTGGACATTATTTTTGCGCACATGAATAATGCGAGATACGTACGCGAATTAGATTTTGCACGTTTCCACTTTTACGATCGAACCGGTATCTACAAGGCAATTCTCGGCAAAAAGGGCAACGTCTTGCAATCGGCGTGCATTATAAGATATCGTCGTACAATTCCGTTATTTACAATGTACAGAATTACGACAAAGGTTTGTAAAGTGCGTCTTGCGCGTTGATGTCATCCAAATTTTACAGATGGTGTACTGGGACGATAAGTCCATATACTTAGAGCAACGATTTATAAGTCTGAGGGA